GATGGTACTTTTAATTTTGTTGACAGTTATGATTTTTCTACTCTCTAGACTACACTTCCACACAATCTTATCAAGAAAATGTTTTCATATTTAATTAAATGGTCTTTTGAAAAATCTCATTGCAAATTATTTGCTGTTACTCGTTTAAAGCCTTTTTATGTAACGAAAAAAGAAAGTATGCTAGATAAACTTACTAGAAATGTGAATATATGATTGAAGCTTTAAATTTTCTCCTGGACAACATAAATGTACGTTTCGGCGATAAAGTGTATCGACAGGTAGTAGGTATTCATATGGGCACTAATTGTGCCCCTCTAATAGCAGATTTATTCCCATATTGCTATGAATCAAGTTTATTGCCATAATCAGTAAAGACGCGTCATTGATACATTTAGTTGACACATTCAACAATACCTACCGTTATCTTGATGATATTTTTTCATTAAATAATCCAGAATTCTCTAAATATACTACCGAAATTTACCCAAAGGAACTTACTTAGAATAAATCTAGCATACACAGCAGTAGTTTCTAGATTTAGACATTTCAATTTCTAAACGGAAACTCCATACAAAAAATTACGACAAAAGAGACGATTTTCATTCCCTATTGTTAATTTTCTTTTTTTAGACGGCGATGTTCCTTTAACTTCATCATACGGTGTTTATATATCAAAACTTGTTCGTTATGCCTGTGTGTGTAGTGATGTTATAGATTTTAGCGAACGTAATCAATGTATCACTGGTAAATTATTTAGTCAGGGATTTCGTAACCATTAATTACTTAATTCATTTACTAAATTCTTTCATAGATACAAAGATTTGATTAGTAAATTTGGTTGTACCTGTAGAAAACTTATTAAAAATGGTATTTCACATCCTAAATTTTACAGTAATATTGTACTTAAAGAGCGGAAATCACTAGTGTGATCCCTGTAAACTTATCGAACCTTTAAACAAACTTATTAGTAAAGGTTATCTTATTAATGTTGTAATAAGATTTTTGAATATTGTTTTCATTGCCACTAACATCGATTTTTTGTCATCAACAAATTAAAACATAACTAAATTTGTATCCTTTTCGAATGTTTTTTTTTTTTGGATTGTTTTATCCATACATATTTATTATAAGGTTAAATTCTAACTATCTTACTGCCTGTCGATACTTTTATTTTGGCATTGCATAAGTCATGTCTTCTTTGACTATCCATGGCATTAAAACACTAAATCCCTGCCTGGGATGTGTTTTAATTGATTTTAGTCTCGATGCATGATTTTTTTTTATAAATTGTTTTTGGCTTTTAGCTAGTTTTCAGTAACTGCGAGTACTCTCAAATCGTACTTTCGTGTTAATTTGACCTGTTGACACAATTTGTAATGCATTTCTGTTATTCAATGTTTACTTATTTTGTGTTATATCTCGTCTTACTATTTTTAATATGTACCAACTTTGATAAGTATTTAGTATGACGAAAAAAAATTCACTTCTGTACTCGTACTATGAATAAAAAATTTATTTTGTGAAAATGTTTCTGTACTCCTAACAACAAAATAATTATATTTAAATTTACCTGTGTACGTTACTTTATTTAACGCCATTTTGTCCTAGGTTAAAGTAGTCTTTTTGACATTGAAACATCTTTTTTATCTATATAGTTTCATAGATCAAACTTATTCTTTCAGTGTATATTTACTTGTTTTTGTGTATTGTCTTTTTGATCGAGTTAAGCCATTTCAATTGATATTTTATTGTGTGTCTTTTTATGTTGTAATGTTATACCACTGTTTTAGGTTAGGGTGAATGTTTGCGCCTGTTGAAACGTTTAAACCCGCTGCATTTTTATGCACCTGTCCTAAGTCAGGAGCCTGTTGTTCAGTGGTTGTCGTTTGTTGGTGTGGTTCATAAGTGTATCTCGTTTCTCGTTTTTTTATATAGATTTGACCTTTGGTTTTCCTGTTTGAATTGTTTTACACTAGTCTTTTTGGGGCCCTTCATAGCTTGCTGTTCGGTGTGAGCCAAGGCTCCGTGTTGAAGTCCGTACTTTTTACACATTGTGACTTGGATGGATAGTTGTCTCATTGGCACTCATACCACATCTTCTTATTTATATTAACATTTGTTATATTTTCGAACTAGTTCGATGGAAAAGATGCGTTCAACGTGGTAAAAAATTTGACATATTGGTGAAAGGACATCATTTATATAGCGCGACATGAAGTTAAAGAAGTATAGAAACTGCTTTCATATTTTCCTGAAAAGCTCATTAATGAAGTCTGTCTCAGATGAATAAAAGAACAAGTCGACAAGAACAGGTTCAAAGTTGGTTCACATAGGAATGCCGATTTTGTTTTGATAATCATGTCCTTCAAAAGTAACAAATATGTTTTCAATAAAAAAGCAAGCATCTTGAAGATATGTTACATGGAGTTGTTTTTTGTTGAACCCTTCCTAAAGCAAGATATGTGTTTCTACGTTGAACATTATTTTCAATGAAAGACATTTGGAATACTTCGTACAATTGCTTTTAAGTTTAGAACGGGGAAAACAACTGTAAAGGGTACCGTGATAAAAATCTTTTTTACTATTGCACGGGAAAACAGACTTTAGGTATATGTTCGCTAACAGATCTTAGATATTTTTGTGGTATTCAAATCTGATTCACATCGCCTAAAGAGTAGGCAGATACACAAAAACTGTTGTCCGGCTTTGGTTGCTGAAAAAAATATGTTTATTGTTTGGAAAACTATGTTGTAGAGAACTTGACAGATCCAACAATTTAACCCATTTCTCTGACGCCAGTCTATTGTTCTAACTGTAGATTATTTTGTAAGAATCGACTGACCACTGTATTATCTTATGATAACATATAGTATAACTTTTAACTCTTAACTTACGATCTTTCATTCTCTTAAAAACCAGTTTTATATGAAGGGTTCGAACTCGCGCGTATTTTCATCGTAAATCAATACAGTCTTCAGTCTATGCATGATACCACTATACCACGAGTGCTGACATAAATCAGTATTTAATTTAAACTCGTAAAGCGCTTAATTGTCAAAAAATGTCAAAAACTGGATTTCTGTCTCATTGATACTTAGCGTCTGTAATCTATGAAATAAAGCTTATGTCTTGGTTTGTTCGTGTAATTTCAAATTTGTTTTATTTGTTTTATTTTGGGTGTTATTTTTTAAGGACGATTATGTTCAACATTTGAACGTTCTTGAGGTTAATTATATTGGAGTATCAAAATATAGAATGACATCGATACAAGAGAAAAAATTAAAAATATTTATTTGAATAAAGTGTGATATAAAAGCCACGACCGTAAAACTACTTCTTTGACAGTAAAAAACACAAACAAAATCATCGTCATTATTTGAAAATGAAATATATAATAGCTCTTAGATTTTGGAAAGCAACATGAAATGGAGCAACACGAAACGGTAGGTTTTTTGGCAGTTGCGCTATATTTATAGATTTGGATTAACCAGCCCTCAGACAATTTACTAAATTTTGTTAAATACTATATATATAAATTTCAAAGGTTCTAAATTTTGGTAATTAAATTTTAAATCTTTTCAAAACAAGATAAACACATACTGAATTATCAATATATGTCTTTTCAAATAAATCATAAATACCAAAATCTATTCAATTTAAATCATTTGTATTGTAAACATTAAATGAAATATTTATTAACCAATATGAAATTTGGAGTTAAAAAGGGGAGCTAACACTCCATTTTAGTTATATATCAGTTATGTTAACTTGTCGAATGTCTAAATATAAATGTGAACCGTGTGGATATAATCCTTTCACCTACTATATAATAAAAAAAGACAAAAAATGAAATTATCTTTATGAAATTCCGTTGATTTATTGTCAAAACGTAAAACAGACAGTCAATTTACTAGAAATTGGTTCAGCTAGAGAATTAATAAGAAGTAGTGGATTCGGAAACTCGGATTCGGATATTTGCATGCAACAAAGATGTTGTTCAGGACGTTGTCTGCAGAGGCAAAACAAATGTTTGTCAAAGACGTAGGTCAGGTGCTAAGCAATATTTGGATGTTTGAAGATAGATTTCGCATGTGTGTTCAACAACACGTACAGTTTTTAATTCAAATGTGTATCAACGATTTCCCACACTTGACCAATTTTTAAAGAGTATTCACGTTATCATTTATGCGTTTGGCCATTATTGAGTTATTGACAATGCTCAGGTCACTAGTAATAACATGGCCAGCTTGTTTAATATATGAATGAGAGACTAGCACATATGCAATCAGGAGGTTAAGACTTGAAGTCAGAACCGAGATTTTGAAACACGTGTTTATTAAAAAAGTCTGCCACGATAATATGGTATAGGTATAAGATATGATATTATATTATAATCAATGAAATAAAACACTTTAATGGTATCATTTTCGAAAGTATTAAATGTTGATAACCTCCCAGTCATGAGACAAAAAAATCATGACAATCCATCTTTGAAATATTGTCTTAATAAACACAATATTTATCCGTGGATAATCTCTCTTTGACAAGTCAAAACTTCATACTAGTCATTTTTGACATATTGTCTGTTTATGGACAAAATTTCGTGATACAAAGTCATGGTATGTTGTCTTTGGGAAAATATGTCATTGGACTATATTTTGCATAACACCTGTTTCACATGTGACACCAGTCGTGTTGTTCTAGTATGTATAAAAGCCGGAAATTAGTTGTTTTTTGGTAATTTCTCAATCGATAAAAACGTTACCTTCTTTAACATTGTGTGGTCAAAACTGCACACAAAAGTCTCAAACTTACTAGTGATTCGGAATCTGTGTCGAAAATAAATAAAGAGTATCATATCAAATGTACTTTTCATGAGTGCATATAAATTTGAATTTGTGAATAAAACACAGATCATTTATGACTTGATTTGATAGAATTGAATTGCTGTTAACTAGTATACATTCGTCGTTCGTCTGTCAATAAACTAGCTTACATATTTTCACATATTTATTGTAAGATAGAATTCTTAAAATTCGTTTCACATTTTGTCATAAAGCTGACTATATAGTATATATTTTGCTCATTGTAAAAGGCTGAAATCTGCTTTATTGTTCGATTCTGTAGAAAAAGTTACTCATCGGTAATCATTCCAACAAATTTTTCTCAGCAGCAAAAATGAAAAAGCTCATTGTATATAGTATTTACCTTTAGGGTATTGCAGACGTCAAAAAATGCCTGTCATCCAACAATAACGCAATTGAAAAATGTGAAACCACAGTAAAAGAAAGTACAGATAAAATTTTGGAAAACATTGATATGCTTAAGGCTAATCAAGCGTCAAATAACTTTGAAACGACTGAGCGGCTGAACAAGATAGGTATATATTCATATTCGTTTCACTCTATATACTATATGTACGCTCTTAAATTGAGACATACTACACAGACCAAACATGTTGTCATAGTTTTCATTCTGTTATTTGTTTTTTATATTGAATTTCTATTTAGACTGATGTAAACAACTACTATACATTTCATAAAATATAACATATATGTCATAGATCCTTGCATCAGATGATCGAATCGTGTATTTATCTTAGATTCATTTCAATAATTTTGGTTTAAGCACCTAATATAATGAATAGTAAAATAACAAAAATACCGAACTCCGAGGAAAATTCAAAATGAAAAGTTCCTAATCAAAACGGAAAGTCCCTAAAAAGAAAACAGTCCATGATTTAAAGGTGTCGATAAGATTTCGGGAAAAAGCGATAATGAACGTTCATCGTCTTGTTTTACTGTTCTCTTTCACTGACATCTTGCTAATGTGACCACGTCCTACATCTTCAATTATTTTCATTTTATATTCGCGTAGAATTATCTTTAGAATCAGACACTTATAATTAGTATGAAAAAAATCCCGTTCAGGACAACTTGTTAATTTATGTTTGAGCGCCTCTCCGTATTGATACATTTCAAATTTACATTTACATTTGCAATGTATCATACATTATCTTACTTCCTATACATTTTTAGGAATATGATTATTTAAAAGCAACCGCGTGGAGACCGTGTATATTTCATATGAGGTTAGTAGGCGTGGTTTATTTCAATACAGGGTTAGTAGTGGTGTAAGTTCCTTTGTAAAACAACACGGTGTTGAGGAAAAAATTGAAAAGTTTCAACAAAGAAAGAAATTGATGATGGACGATTGAAATAAATTCATAAAACACATTAAAAGCTTACAAGTAGTTATTGTTGGCATTTGTTTTTGTATAGACCAATGGAAGTAGGTTCTTAATATTGAAGACTTGATCACTTTGATAGGCCACTAGTCTAAATACTACATGTTAAGATAGTCAGTAAGATAAATTCGTTACACAGTGTGCTAATGAACTAATACGATATATATGGGTCAGTAAATTCCATATGGAATTTACTTACCCCCATATATATCGTATTAAGTCACTAGCACACTGTCATAACTAAGTATATTTCATAATAGAAACGTTGGTTACAAAATACTGTGAATATTATTATTATGTTAAAATATTTTTTAGAGCAAATGTTACATGAATTCGATAGTACTGCCTTTTCTGAAAAGTATGAAAAATCTTCAGACTTATTAAAAGGTGAGGCGTTAGACATTTATATTATAGCTCAACAATTTAAATAATAATGATAAACTTTCGCCTTTTGCGCCTTCTGGATTAACGACAGTTGGTTTATGTTTTAACGGATATATTCATTGTATTTGAAGGAAAATTTGTACAGAGATGTTTTTACCTTTTTAAGTATAATTACACGACATGAGTAGAGAGTTGTATATTTTATGCAAACAGTCGCGTGTATAAGTATGCTTTCGGATCACGTTTTTTTTTATATCAAAGTCATTATGTAAATGAAAATAATTTATGAAACAGTTCTGACCAGAAGTTGACAAATTGCCTTTAGATAAAATAACAACTTATGCATATTGAAATAACGTGAAGTGTGCTTATTTCCCGTATAATTTTCTTCGTATATAGCTTTAAACATTTTTGAAATTGATCGAGCTGTGTTGTTATCAAACATGATGGTGTCAACATCAAGCCCACGTTTTTATACAAAGGACAAAACTGTATGATATAAAAAAAAATCAATTTGTTCATTAAGTGAAATAAAAATCATATATATTTGGATACATATACAATTTAGGAGGAGAGGAATGTCTTGTACTCTGGCAACTTGCAACTCCAGAAAACTGGAATGCAGTGGAAATTGACCAGATGCTGACAATGTTTGTAGATCGATTTAAAGATCTCTAAGTGAAGATTAAATTCGTACGGAGAGGGTCATTACTGATAATGACCACTGTTCCCGCCAAAGTTGCAAACGATTCAACAGACTTTCATTCTGCTGTGAAAGCCTTTTTAACAAGAATGGTCGAAGTTTGCCAAATTGATACAACTGTACCCTGTAATGTTGAAGTTACGTTGCATATACTCAACAGTAATGAATGTACGTATCTCAATATCCAAACAATTAATTCACTTTAAATGCAGTAGTCTTTAATTACCTTAAATACATTTCATCTTTGTAACTGCCAGAAATAAAAGTTGCAGAAACATTAACGACAGCCTGTATTATTAGTTTCTGTTACTTATATAAACAAAGGCAAAATATTATTGAAATACATGTCACACACAATTAAAAAATACATATACACTTAAATCATGGGATGATTAAGGTATATCGAATATTTATGAAGAAGGTAAACACGAATAATTAAATATATTACGGATTACAAATGTGTCGAGTCGATTGGATCACAACACAGAGATGTCAGTATATATTCAGGAAACTGCCGGGGTATATATAACGTTTTTTAACACCAATTGGAACCTCAACAACTTTATCATAACGAACGTTATTTATGTGACGTAGTCTCAAGCTATACAGAAACTTAAAGAACGTTAGAGGTTCGCAGAGGGGAAATAATGACGTGTATTCGTCTATAGTATGTTTTTAATTTAAAATCACGTGATTTACACATGAAATACTTAATTAATGTCTTAAAGTCTTATTACAAATTAATGTATTCATGATAGAATAATTTTCACAGCAAATTACAAAATCCTTCACGTATGCGGAAAATATCAGGTTTGATGATTCAATATTTTTGTTCTCAAAAAAAGTCATAATACATAAAAAGTCACAAACATACAAACAGTATACATGAAATCTAAAATCTTGATTGGAAAAATATTCTTTACGAAAATAATATATGTTTGAAATACTTGCTTTTGAATGAATTACTCAAAATATTAAGAAACAATTAACAAATACTGAATATATATAATGCATGGTGAATGTTTAACAAGTATGTGGTACTGGAAAACAAACATTAAGGCAGGGATAATCCGTAATATACGTGTAATTCAGGTTTCAGACAGGGCATATAATGTGACATTCCCGGCTTATAGGGTTTATATCCCTTTCGCCTTCGGCTCAGAGAATACAAACTCTAAGCCGGGAATGTCACATTATATACCCTTTTTGAGACCTGAATAACATCACAACTTTAACATGCAATTGGAAAATTCCTCTTTCATATGCCCTTTAATTTCGTATGTGATATCAATGTATATGTTAGCGTGTTCATTTACCAAAATTAAATATAACACTTTACTAATTGTATGTTACAGCGTTAACTTGGCGCTTAATTTAGGAGAGGGTGTACAAGCCCTATATTGAAGATTTTTTAACTATCATATTTTCAAATATGTATGGACAAAAGCAGATAGAATATATGATAACGAAACCAAAACGAAAACCCAAATTCAATGTTTATCAAAAGAAAAAGAATTCTAGTGATCAATCTACGGTATACATTATCAAGCAAATGTATTACCATAAAATTAACCTTACAAAAAAAACCAATTTAATATAACTACTAGAAATAAATAAACCACCGATAAAATATTTAACCTAGGTAGGACCAGGCAAAAAGATTGTGTTTATTAGTTGTTTAAGATCAAATACAAGCCATACAATGATAAACATTTTAGTAGTCACTAGAATCAAATCGAAATAAGAGGTTATTGTGGAAATATGACTCTACATAAAAGTGGCATATGACATATTGTGACGGCAGTGAATTCAGTGCTGTTCAAATAATTCGCTTGCAGGCAATTCAAAAGATATGCTCAGTCTATGTTCAGCCTGTTCACTAGTTGTTATTTTCATGTACAAAACAAGAACATACTTAATTTGCTGAAAAAGTAACAGTATTGGATAAATGCAAGCCAAATATCTGAATGTAATGAATTAACAGCAAGAAAACAGCTAAACAAACCCTTAACCTCTTAACACGACTTAATACATTTAGGTTCAAACATTTTAGATGTTGTTAAGGTCGTAATGGCCGTTTAAGACTTTCAAAATTCGTTTACTAATGCTCTTGATTAAGATTTTAAGTTAAATGTTGCTTTATTATTTCGTCGTTAGATTGCATTCATATGTTGAATACTACTCATTTCCCTTTAATCTATTCATACACATATGTTGAGTTGAAATCAGTAATATTAAGCAGATTTCATTCGGTAAAGTCATATAATCATACATTTAAGGGTGGAATTAATAAAAGCAAAACAATATGGTCGTATAATGACTGAAACTATCAAAATGTGTGATGGAATACGTATGATCAATTGCTATCTTATATGATAATGTCAATTTTTCTTCTTCTTCTGTTTGTTGCGAAGCTCTCTGAGTGTATCTGTCGTTATTTAAAAGGTTTTGGCCAGATATTTACATTTGGAATATTAATGGTATAGCTAAAGCTTAGTATATATTTGAAATACAACATACTACTGTAGTAGATATTTCCGAATTTTTTGTAAATTTATTTTTGTTTTCGTTTCTTTTAGTGAACGTGACCTACAGTTTATCAAACAAACCTACAGAACATAAATTTGTTCAAACAGAAGGTATGTCGAAAAAATTATATAATTTATTCTAGCTTACATACAGCGATATAGTTTTGATCGATCAATATAACAGAAATAATCTAACACTTATCGATATCAATTAGCATTTCTCTTTTCTTTTCCTACAGATGTTTGTTGGGCCAACTTTGTACTGTCATATCTGATAACCTATATTGACGATTTTAAATACTGTTAAAGAACTTTTATTCGTGGGGTACCAATTTTCGTGATTTTCGTGGATGGCTTTATCCACGAATTTAACTGTCCAACGAAATATAATAACTGTTGTCCAATTCCAGACATGGAAAGATCCCCATGTAGGTTTGATTACATGGATACGGTCATATAAACCAACGTACTATGAACTAAATATACATTTTTTTTTGTACAACTTCAGACCAGATTTTACCCATTTAATCTTTAAAAATTGTAAAATGTACGACTGTTAATATTTTAATTCTCATGAGGATTAATTTTTGATCGATGAAAGTCAGATTTCCGGTGATAATGAAATGTTCCTTTTTACATAATTCTCATATGAAAAAAAAATTTTGATTTCATTTTGGGCTTGCTTTTTTATGTCATAATAATTGATTCTACAATTCAAAATACTATGAATTTGTTAGTAACGAAGGGCGAACAAGTGAGTGAAAATGAACATCTTATTTAACAATGCCCCATAAATCATTATAAAACAACATACGATTAATATCACGAATATTCGATTCTGAGGTCTTCAAATTCGTCATTCGATTTTTTTTCTTCAGAAAACTAAAATCCACGAATTTAAGAACCCACGAACATGTAACTTTTGCTGAAACCACGAAAATTGATACCCACGAATAAAAATACTTTCGCAGTATGCAAATTAGATTGTCTTGTGCCTTTTTCTGTCTGCCCTTTGTTTTAACTATGTTCATAGCTTCAAAAGTTTGATATGTTACTAGTATTTAGCTAGTTTGCTTGTGATTATGCATTTGCAAGGTCTATCGCCTTCTGAAAAACATTGACCAGACTTTTCGAACAAAATTAAATTGTCGTAAAAAGATGTGTGTATATATAATTACTCTAAATATCAGCACAACAATGTAAAATCTGCAAATTTGCGGAAGCAAATTTTTTTTCTTCCCTCGCCGGGATTCTGACTCATGCTATTCAGATATCGAGACAACACCGCCTGCACTGTGTTCAGCGCTCTAGACCACTCGGTCACCTAGACTGAACTTAAATTCAGCTTTCGGTGGCCTAGTGTTACCTTTCCTCGTCAGTAAAATCTAGAGTTGTAACACAGTACATGATATATTAGGCATGAAGATGGAATTGATTGCAGATTAGTTAAATTATCTATCGTAAAGGATCGTAAGATGCAGTCACAGAAATAATTATTTGATAAGTACGTCTAACCAAGTGACAACTCTACGACAGATTCATCCATTGGATCACCAGTGAAGGTGATACACGGCTGAACACACATATTATATTCATAATTACTCTAAATATCAGCACAACAATGCTAAATCTGCAAATTTGCGGAAGCAAATTTTTGTTCATAAGAGATGAATATATACACATCCTAATATGTATAAGGAGTGACTATGAAAATCAAAACTATATTATAACTTATAGTATACAGTTAAATCTAAATACAAGCATAATACTCCTATTATTCTGATGAATGATTTCCCCTCGACATGTGTATGGTTTTCTAAGAAAACTGTACTTTTCTGTCAAAATTATACAGATGTTAAACTGGAAGTAACAATCTCCCGTGAGATTTCTGATTTCTTTATGTTTTATCGTTAAGTTGCACGACAGACAACGCACTTTTCAAATCAAACAATGTTTTCTTGTCTATTTTGATCTGAAATAATCATTCAAAATAAAGGGAACACAAAGAGAAACATAATTCGTGTTAATTAATTGCTTTGTTGATTGTAGCCGACGGAAACGGCAACATGTCATATTCTTATGCAGCAAAGATACAGGATAATGAGATAGATGTATATAGCCTGCTTTGTGCAAGACATAAACACTAAATCTATCTTAATCTTGCCAACCAATTCACGAGGTAACTAAACCGCAGAAAGAATATCACACTATTTAAACGCATTATTCTGAGTTCGATCTGGCCATTATTTACTCTTATTTGTAAATTCAACATGCAAAGTGGAGAAACGGTAAATACCTTTTTAAAAGTCCTCGGTTTTAATTAGTCGAAAAACAAACAAATGACATCCAATACTTAAGGCGACCACGCTACAACGAACCACAGAGGCGTTCTCGTTTTATAGGAACAGCTGCATAAATTGTCAGAATGCTTTTCAAAAGTTTGACAGATTGATATCGGGTGCTTCTATTCCAATTCCGTTTTTCAATCAACTACAAAAACAAAAATGTTTATTTTCTCTTTGCTTTTTCTGACCAAATTCAACTGGCTTTGACAATCTATTGACGTGATAGTTATGAATTCTTACTCAGAAATTAAGTAAGATTGAACACGATATAGGAGCGACACCGGATATTTGCACTAGCTGAGCAGGGAAATGAGAGGTTGTACAATATAAGCGGCCGTACATATCAACAAATAAAATGCCGTATACTATCGAACCTTTGTCTCTGTTATTAGCATTACTTTTAAAGACAATTAACAAACATTTTGGTCTTGTGCATCTATAGTGGGTAATAATTGAAAAATAGGAAATAATATTCAATATTCAATCTTTAAAATAATTAAACCTGCTACTTTTCTTGATCTGAAATAATCGGTGCTTCTTTTTTCCGAAACTAGATGGTAGTTTTCCATATATCCAGATTTAATTTATGCTGATGTCTAACATTCCTAAATAATTTGGAGAACAAGTAATTTCCAATCATAAAATTATACATATCTTAAGACACGTGTAATAATTACAAATGCATAAAAAATTGAAATCAATACCTGAGATAACAAAATGTTGCAACCTCTCAGCGCTTCAGCTAGTACCAATATCCGGTTGCGCTGCCATACGGTGATAAAGAAGTATCTACATATCTACCAAAGCTATTATTCTTTCAATGCCCTCATAAGACTGATGTTTGAGAGTCGGGATGTTGTTTACAGAATGGAGAATAATGAACCAATACAACAGAAGAATGGACCAAATAAATAAAGATAACAGAAAAATAGGCAGACCAAATAAAAAAATAAGAATAATTGGTTGCAAAAATATAAAGAATAGAGATAAATGGGCCAAAAAAAACAAAGAATAGAGAAAAATGACTAAAACATTTAAGAAAACAGAAAGAAGATCCCCATCCAGACCCACATATATGTATGGCTTTCCAATCTTTATTGAAGAACGTACCTGGTGCAGGTTATTCAAGTAAACACGAGTTTTGCGGACAATCATACCATACGGTTTCCTTTCTATTAGACTTATGTTATCATTTCTTTTAATGTTGCATTTATTTGTAATTTTCCGGTATTCAACTTTCCAGACTTTATCCTGAGTGGTCTGTAGACCCTGACATGCATACGTTTTGGGTATTCCATATAAATGTTTTATATCTATTGTTATATTCATTACATAATTATGTAGATGAATTAACATCGACAATGTGCATGTATTGTAAATGATTGTCAAACTCATGAGGATACTTCAGAGGATTCCGATACAAAACAAATTTATAAAAATCAATCGGATTCTGGTATTTACTTATAAACACAATTTGCTGAATAAACATATATTACAGTTAACACAGTTATATTCAGTAAAATATTTGGGAAGACAGAAAAGTATGTGAATTCCTTTGCGTTCGCAACAAACAGAAGTCTACCAGAGATGGCAAAAACTTATCGGTTAATGAATAGCATGAGGGGTGAAAAGTTTTTTTCTTAATTTCATTTTACACTATTCAAGTTTATGTTATGTTACGTAAATACTGCAGTATAGCAATATCTTATAAAAGTGGAAAATAATAAATAAAAACAACAACATTATATATTTTGTCAGTTAATTAATCGTGCTATATCAGTTTTCTTATGTTAATTATATAAAATTATAATCATATCAAAATACAAAATATAAATAAAAGGCTTATTGACAGGGCATCAAATATTCTAGTAATTGTGGACAAACGTCCGTTTATAGTTGTTATTGAGGACACAAAGTTGTGCAGTCATGCATTTCATATGGATTGTGTGGATGAGTTTATAGGCGAATTGTCTTTCATAGTTTTATTTTAAATCCTTACTTTTAAAACAAACTTTCGTGGAAAGACTTACCTTAGAACTTCTCTATTTGTTTTATCGTGTAAGGTAGTAATACTGATGGTATAAATTGCATGGGATCGATATAAAGATTTAATTAATTAATGTATTTGTATATCTTTTTCAGTCGAAGACCCTTCTACAACCCCTTACCTACCAGACTTTGATGATGGGTCACCTATGTAAGTATATATAATATCATAATAATAGAATAATTGTAAGTTATGGTTTAACTTCCGCTAAGTAGCAATATCTACGACGTGCATGGACATGGTGGAAAATCCCGGTTATAAATTGTAATTGAATTATTTAACAAAAAAAAGAAAATGCAACTTATGTCCCAAGTTGGGTCTAGGGAAAAATAGTTCTGCAGTATCAAACTCGAATACTACTTATATTTCTTGGATAACCGTCCTCGATTACTTTTTGGAAAAACGTTGTCTGATCAGTAATAGGTAGTTTTTTGTCCTTTTTTCTTGTAAAATGTTTGTTGTGTTTGCAAATGAATACACACAGTTTTAAACTGTTTTTGGAACGAACCATTGATTGCGTCAATTCAATATTGATCATTAGTAGTAACAATATAGGCTAGTTTCCTTATTGGATGCTTTATACGTTTGTAATAAAGTTGTACCTTGATTTTCATACGTATTAAAAAATAAATTCCTCATATTAAATACGAATGAATTGAATATGCAAGATTTCAATGTATCCATACGAACGAACGACAATTAAATAACGGCGTAAGGACAAAACATGAAAAGGTCGTAATAAATGTTGTTTATTTCAAGTATAAATTTCTTTCATTATTCATAAGAAAATTTATCTCTTTAGGTATGGCGATGATACCATATTTTGTTGCAGTTGTCTTCAAAGCAACAAACAAGTTGTAATACAATCATATTGTCTCGATTGTTCAGAACCGATATGTGAGAAATGCGGAAGTCTACATGCAACATTCGCTCAGCCTCATACTATCACTTCTAAAGTAAATGAAGATATTGTATATCAGTCATCGTTAACAGTTTCAAAGTTTTGTTCAGTTCATAAAAATCAAGTAACCAACAGTTTTTGTACTCAACACGATGCTCTGTTGTGTGATACATGTGCAATAGATGGTCATAATAGCTGTATGTCCGTCCTGTCAATTCAAAAAGCTGCAGAAAATGTAGCAGAGGGAGCAATCATGAGTGATCTAGAGTATAGATTGCACAACCTTGGAATTGTAATTGAATCGTTGATAACCACAGAGGAAAAAAATATATTACATGTAAATGCAGAGAAAGATAAAGTTCACAAAGAAGTGAATAGCATCAAACAAAGAATATGTTTACATCTCGATAGACTTGAAAGAGAATTTGCCGATAGGTTAACTGATGTAGCAGAAAGAAGCAAGTTAAGCCATAAGTATTATTTACCGTCAAAGCTACGTATCACAAAAACATTGCAAAATGACATGGAATCAACAAACACATTCGAATCTGAGTCGGACATTTTCAAAGCACTGAAGATTTTAGATGGAAACGTGTGTAGGCAGGAATCGGCAATTCGAAATTTTCTAAAAGATGTGCAGTTTAGACGTCTTGAATTTAACCCACTAGAAATGGAAACTATTGAAATATTTTTACCAAAACTGGGAAGTTTAACAGTTTCAAACACCCCAATAACGTCGTTAGATGTTCGAGGTCAATTGCATTTGGTTGGAAAAAGGGGAGGGAACATTCTTTTTCTAGACTCTTTCAAATCTGACGATATTGGATGTTCAGTGGGTTCGGGATGCTTTATAACCGAAAGCAAACTATTATTTACAAATTTTGAGGGTAAGTATAGTCTTCATATATGCGACAGGCATGGATTGAGATGCACAATGATTAAGCTTGATGGTGTCCCATTGGATGTTGCGACATACAATTCAACCCTTGTACTAGTAACTATTCGTAACAGAGGTATACGGATTATTAATGTCGACACTAATATGTGTGGACGATATATTTATCTTGGAATTTTTTTGGCAATACAGTGTGAAAATAGAAATATTTGGACCAGTACTAGTGAAGCAACAATTTACAGAATTGATATTGAGGGACACCTTCTGCAGAGTTTTAATGTAGGCTTTGTTGCTAGACAAATTGCTTTGAACATTACCGGGGAACACGTGTTTTATTCGCCTTTAACTTCAGATAAAATATTCACCTTGTCAACAGACGGACAACAAGCGCTCTTTTATACTTGTCCAGAAAAAACTACTGTTCATGGGCTAGCAGTTGATTGCAACGGCAATGTGCTAATTGCGGATAAAATTCAAATTGTATTTGTAGCATATCGCAAGATGGAAAGAATATAGAAACTATTCTCAGTATAGATGATGGTATATCGAAACCCGACCACATTCAATTGAATAGTAAGACCAATGAATTGCTGGTGCTTAGTGTAATGAAAGGATCTATTCAGATATTCAAACTGATTTAAAACTTCGTGGGAAAACGTTGTTCGATTGAAAATATTAATTGACGCAGGAACTTAATGAGTTTATTTGATTATAACCTATCAAGAGTCTTTAAATAACCTAGACTACGCTGATTACACGGCGTAAATGAACCTCATTATATATATGAGAACCACACAGACGTAATTATATTTGAATAGAAACTAAATCAACATTCGTATTCATCTAATTGAGATGTCACAGATTATATGTCTGATAGCTGTGAATAGTGTATTATTGTACATAGGTATGGTTCAGGGGCTTTGCAAATTTTGACATAAATTAATGGGTTTTTTTTCTATTGTAATCGTATTTCTGTACCCAAATTAGTATGTGAAGCTCTCCTACTTCTCGTACCAGAACATTGACTTAAAATAAACCGAGTAAGAACACTGATAACCGTCTGTTCCTTGATTTAGATATGTATATAAGTTAAATAATTACAACAAAAGAAGCGAATTTTTTTTTAATGATGCGTCTGTGCTACCGTCTTATGCATGTGTAATTGTGTGTATGTTTCCAAGCTCGTTCGCTACGCCCGTGTCTAAATGACGTTTAACATTGTATATAGATAAATCTGCGCATAACTGAAAATAATCAAGTCAGCGAATTGGTACCACAAATTACGTAAACCCTTTAGGTGATTTTTAAAAATACAGATGTAGATTGTATATTTTGTTACAATGATGTTTTCTTAAAGCGCGGTAATTAAAATACGACACATATAAACTCATTAGTTCTTGGAATAAACATTTTCTTTCAGGTTATTAATTCAACCTTGTAGATATTTGCATGTTGTATTTATTGTCACTAACTTTTATTTCAGCAGTTTAACACACAACTTAACATGTATAGCCATCAAGTTTTTAACACTGATGATACTATATCAAGGCGTTTCTTATGCTGTGCTTGGCACAAGATCATTCTTTCCTCGGACTGCTAATGACAGAAAACACATAGGCGGAGTACTGGTTGATAATTAAGTCTTTGAATACATACAAGCACACTCACACACACACACTTTGATAACGTGACTGCTTTAAACCAGGAGCCTAAGATCCAATGGTTGTCGCGGGTTGCCGTTTATCATAATAGTTTGTCGTTTATTTGTGTAGTATAATTTTGTCGTCCCGTGCATTTGCAATTGTCTATATATATATATATGGAGTTTATGCAATGGCAAAGCCGTGCGTTGAACTCTAATTGTTCACAAAAGTTGTTAATGAATAGCTTTTTCATAAAGGAACTTCTGCAAAAACAAATCACACTTATTAAGATTTATCATTACAACTACCAGGTATACAGATTAAGGGGATCATAATGAGGAGAGTTTTAAGAGGTGTTTGTCGTACAGTTGATTTTCTTTCTGGAATTTTCAAGAACCCTTTGCAGTAACAGGTTTAAGTCAAGCAATCATCAGCTAAAATGCATTCAATAATAAATGAATTGATTAACTAACACAACAAAGCGCTGGATTACTGAACATTTTCGAAAAAATAGTGTCAGAAAAAAAGTAGTTCATTGAGTTTCACCATAGCAACTGTTCTAGTAGGTGATAATCTCTTTTCTTAAACTTTGACTCCCATTGTTGAAGATTACAGTTCTGCACTTAATGCTTATGAATAGTTGAATGATTTGTTTCCATTGAGCAGAGCATAAAATGTTTTTAAAGTATAAATATCAGTCAAAGACGGCTCAAATCGGTACATAAATCTGAATTTCCAGAACACTAGTATATATTCACATCATCCTTATAATAAACGTTTCTCGATTTAAAATGTGTTTATTACTTTTCATGAAGGCTGCAATTGTATTACATATTTCCTGTCGTGGCAGTGGTTTTTTTAAGGACTGTTGTGTTTTTGGTATTTTTTTTTTTTTTTTTTTTTTTAATTTTCTGTACACCATTCATCAATTCGAAACAGTTTGCTCGTATTTTCCAAGTGATAGCATGCTTAGCCTATATTTTGTTTTGACAGAGTGACCTGGTTTATTGGTTGGTGCAAACTAAATTACACGATTTTGACATAAATTATTTATAAGTGCTAGTTTATTCAAATAGGCAAGGTGAGCAATAGAAAACGAACGATAAGCGCATGATCAAAAAATTAATTTAAAGAATTTGACTCATCACTTGCACAGGACAAAATCTAATTCTTTTAACCTAGCTGTTACTATATTGCATTCATCTTGTCCGTTGTTCTAGTAAACATTTTCGTCACATTTTTTTAGGTTCTAGTAAACAAACTGACTTCATTTTTATTAGCAGCTTTACAGTGATGAGTTGTAACTTGTGAGCACTGTTTCCAAACTATGAAAACTATACATTGACCAATGAACAATAAAAACAAGGTCAAGGTCAGCTTAAACTTGCAAAACAGATAGGTACACCTTACAAGCATTCCATACACCAAATGTAGTTGACCAATTGCTAATAGTATCCAAGAAATATACCAAACTATGAAAACGTAACAGTGACCAATGAACCATGGAAATAGGGTCAGGGTCAGATAAACCTGCCAGGTAGACATGTACAACTTACAATCATGCCGTGCAACACATATAGTTGACCTACTGGTTTTGGAATTTGAGAGAGACTTTACCATGAAAACTTAACATTTACTATTGAAAATGAGGTCAAGGTCAGATGAAACTTACCAGACAGACATGTACACCTTAAATTCATTGCATACACCAAATATAGTTGACCAATTGCTAATAGTATCCAAGAAATATACCAAACTATGAAAACGTAACAGTGACCAATGAACCATGGAAATAGGGTCAGGGTCAGATAAACCTGCCAGGTAGACATGTACAACTTACAATCATGCCGTGCAACACATATAGTTGACCTACTGGTTTTGGAATTTGAGAGAGACTTTACCATGAAAACTTAACATTAACTATTGAAAATGAGGTCAAGGTCAGATGAAACTTACCAGACAGACATGTACACCTTAAAATCATTGCATACACCAAAAATAGTTGACCTATTACTTATGGTACATGTATTATTAGAAAAAAAAACTAGACGAAAAAGTTAACATTGACCATTGAACTAAAAAATGAGGTCGATGTTAGGTGAATTCTCTCCGACGGATATGTAGACCTTCAAAGGAACTAATATACCAAATATAGTCATCCTATTACTCATAAGTGAGAAATTCAAATGACAAAAAAACAATTTAGCAGTGCCCGAACCATGAAAATGAAGTCAATGACAATCCACATATGAAAGACGGAAACTGTGTAAGATAAGACACATCTATACTAGGTATGAAGCATCCAGGTCTTCTTCCTTCTGAAATATAAAGCTTTATACAAATAGTTTACGCTGTCGCCAGATAGCTCAGATGTTCTGTCGCCGGATAGCTCAGATGTTAATTTCTAAATTTGCAGTATTTTCAACAAATTTGTTATAACTGCCCAATGAAAGACCTCGCTACGTTCGGTCTTTCATTTGATCAATCCTGGCACCCCTCGCCGTGTTATACGACAGTAAAAACCTTACATTTTCTGACTTATATACTGTTAAAAAATGCAAAGATTAATCATTTGCAAGAAATTGTATCACATTTTACAGATCACATTAAAGTGGGAGATTTTTGTCTTAGTTATTTAAGAGAATTATAATCCCTGTCTTCATGAATTAAGTACGAGCGTTAGCGTATAACCACTCCCAACTCCTCAATTATACGGTGTAACAAAACTCACTTATCAAGATATGAACTTTGGTAATCACTGTTCAGTATAATCAAACATGGTCTGTAATTGCATAAAACAACGAAGAAATGAATTGTTTCTCTTGATGAAAAATACAAGTTATTTTGATAAGCAATTTAATATATTGACCTTTTAAAATTGGAGCTCTGTTTTTTCTCTTGTTTCATATCATTTTTACCGCGGAAAACAACTAACAGTTTGAGGAATATCACACAAATAGGTTATAATATCTTGTTTGAATAAGATACCCCAAATGTGATATACATATATTGTTCAAAAAAGCTTCTTGTGATTCACGGTAAAATATTAAAGTGCAAATGAATAAATAAAAGAGTTTTGGTTAGCAACTTTTCTGAATACCCAAATTGTTCATGAGTTTGATTTCTTGGATAAAGCTGCTTTTCACAGAGATCAATCTAACAATTTATTAATTTTCTGGAAAAGTCGCAAATATGAACTAAACAAATGCACTTGTTAATACTTTGGTCAATTCAAAAATTATGATTGTTCGCAATGGAAATTTATATCCCAGTTGGGTTATCATACCTTAAATGGGTTAATATGACCTATTTGGGCGATTGTCTACAGCCTATTTAAAACGAACTTATATAAAATAATTGTGTTCTCTCTTTTTCCTAGCACTACAATTTTTCTTCCAAGAATTGAAAATCAGTATAAAATATTTAAGCCCTTCCACAATGAGATAAAATTTGACTGGTTTTAAAAGTGTTGTAAAAAGTTTTGCATTATCAATTTTATTTAAAATTTTCCTTTTTATTATTGGTGTCTAAAGTTAAACGACGCGTTAATTACATTTTCTTGTACCAGTATTTAAATTTTTATAAATGGAGGAAAGGATTGTTTCTGCTTTCAACCTTTAAACAAGAGTGTACACGCTGAAATGTCTCGCCTGCTTTACTTACCATTGATTTTATGTTGATAGTCCTAAATAAAGTTTAACTACAAGTATTACACAAACTTAGCATGATCCAAGAAGATAAGGTCAAGGTCAGATAAACCCAAGCCGGAAATATATGTCACACCTTACAATCATTCCATACACTGAATATACTTCACCTATTGCTTATAGTATACAAGAAACAGACCAAACCATGAAAACATTATATAGACCATTGAACCATGAAAATAAGGTCAAGGTCAGATGAACTCTGACAGACATACATGTATACCTTACCATCATTCTATGGATTAAATATAGTTGACATATTGCATATAGTATCTAAGAAACAAACCTAAACAGGAAAACTAAACATTGACCAATGAACCATCAAGGTCATATGATACTTGCCAGACAGACATATACAGCTAACAATAATTCCATACACCAAATAAAGTTGACCTATTGCTTATGGTCTTAAGAAAAACAGACCAAAACACAAAAACTTAACATTGAGCAATGAACCATGAAAATGAGGTCAAGGTCAAATAAAGCCAGCCAGACTGACTACATATTTCCATACAACAAATATAGTTGACCTATTGCATACAGTATAAGAAAAACAGATCAAAACACAAAAACACAACTTGAACCACTGAACCATGAAAATTAGGTCAAGGTCAGATGACACATGCCAGTTGGACATGTACACTTTCCATTCCATATACCAAATATAGTGAATCTTTTGCTTATAGTATCCGAGATATGGACTTGACCACGAAAACTTAACCTTGTTCACTGATCCATGAAATGAGGTCGAGGTCTATAAACAAAGTATGAGCATCCAGGTCTTCTTACCTTCTGAAATATAAAGCTTCTAAGTAGTTAGTTAGTGCCGCTGCTGCCCCAGAACACTATCCCTATGTCTCGCTTCTTGGACAGAAATCACAAGCTCAACAAAAACTATAAATGATTAAAAAATTGTCCCGTAAAACCCTATTGGTCTATTAACAAACTGCAGTTTGCATTTTAATCAAGAAAAATCATGACCTTACAACTGCTATTATATTATGCCTTGCGGGAAATAATTCCATATAGGTTGATAAGGTTATAGAATAGTAAACCTACCTACAATTTTAAAACATTGCTGAAAATGGGTCTTTTATGGTACAAAAAATCCTGTCTTCTGTCATTTTGCATTGTCAAAACTGATCCAAGATAAAGAAGATACAAAAAGGTATACAAAAATCAATGAAATCAAGCAAATGACATACTTTGGTGAAAATTCATGGAAGATTTAAGAAATGCAATAATGCCCGAAACTTTTGGAGAAAAACAAATATATGTTAATATCAAGCTTATCAAACAAAAGTTGATAAAGTACACTGAAATGTCTTTCCTCTTTAACTGATAACAAACAAATGATGTGCTGAAAGTAATTGAAATCAACGTAATATATCCCCAGTCAGGTCTAATGAACCATGTTTACTTTATCAATGATCCGTCTATAAATTATATCAAGGTTAGGCGAACCCTATCAGATATGTACACCTTATCATCCAAAATATACTTTAACAATTTTAACGATATTCCGAACACCAAGGTTTTTCTATCCAAAGGCATAGACTGCCTATAAAGCTGTTTTTTGTTCATCTTTTCCGAATTTTCGGTTTTTAATGCTCTTCAAATTCTTTTTTGATTTGGCCTTCCAACTGTTTTGATTCAAACAACACTGATGAGTCTCATGTAGATGAAACGTGCATCAGGCATACCATAGAAAAAAACTCTGGCATCGTTAATGAGTTTTTAACCTATTGCTTAAAGTATCAGAGAAACCAACTTTACCATGAAAACTTAATATTAACCAATAAACCATGAAAAAAAGGTAGCGGTCAAGGTCAAATGAACCCTGCCATACAGATACATACATCTTTCAATCATTATATACACCAAATAAAGTTGACCTATTGCTTATATGCATGTAAACAGTTCCATGAATCAATCGACAAGGAACAGCATAACTGAAGAAAAAACAGTTATTATATAGTCATTTTATTGGCAAAACATACCAGCATTATCATTGCACTTAAAATGGTAATAAAAGGATACATGTGGTCTGATAAAAAAAAATGGTATAAAATGATATTTAACATCACAGATGTTTTTTCTGAAATTAAAAACTTGAGTCATACCATACAATCTTTTTTGATAAAGATATTAAACAATGTGATTCTTACAAACTATTTAAAAAATACACATTATAAAATGATATTAAAAACCTTTCTTCAGACTTAAAAAATAATCTATTTCTGTTTAAATACCAATAAATGCTATTTCAAGACATGTGTTCTTTACTACATCAGCTGGAGAAAATATTTTACACATTAAATGAGGAATATATATTTATAGATGACATTATGCTCAATCGTTGAATCCATAACTTAACATATAAAATAAAAACAAGCTTAATGTGTTTCTGTGAATTTTATTTTGTTTTATCTATCAGTGTGAATTGCCAAACAATATGAGAATACATTTTAAATTACATACATGTACATGACATTTTGAGCCAGTACATTTTTGTCTCATTTTATACCTGAGCAGAAGAAAAAATCACAGAATATATCATTTGAATCACAAACTCAGTCAATATGCCATCACTAGCTACTTTTGTTCTAATTAACTTAAAATATCAGTAAATCATCTTGATAAAAGTATGTATTGTGCGTTTAGAACAAAATATAAACTAAGAAAAAGGAATGGTAAAGCATATGATCTGCCAAACATGTCAAAACCTGTACATTCAAAACCACTAAAATATTCTATTTGATATAACATTTACCTCTCAACCAAAGAGGTCTTAATCAACTCTCACCCAAAATTTGAATCCTAGTTACTTCTCTTCTAGTACAAAGTATAGATTGATAAGCAAAATACTATATATAGAAGAAAGGTTCGCATAGAAGATACTAGAAGCACTAACAATTGTTTAACATCATTTAAATTCTAATCTATATCTGTCAAATGCTGCTGCCTCTTAATCCAAACCTCCTTTGTAGATACCAATGTTCAAATTATTTGGCATTATATACCTCATTTAAAAAAAGCACTAAAATTGTGTTTCTCAATTACATATCACCCATATTCTTTTGTTGTTTTTGTTACTAACACCATCTCATTTCAAACACTTATCCATATTTTGCAGTTGGCAATTCAGCAAACAGTCTTAATTTCCCTCATTTGGACTGATCTGGTGGGTTTTTTTTTGGAACATAGCTAAATTACAAATGTTCTACCAAACTTTGATAACTATGACAGGTCTCATAATATGCTTGAACTATAAATCAAGCTACTGAAAGATAATAGTACATCAATAATGAACCTTAAAATTTTAATTTCAATTCAAAATTGATAAAAATAAATGGAGAATGTTGCATAAGATGAGGTATTCAATCTTTCAAATTAGCATTGGGAATAGTAAATGCATGTTTTGATATTACTTAAAAATTTTCAAGAATGTATGTTTAACAAACTTCAAGTTTTTTTTAGCAGAAATTACCAGACAGTTCATACTAAATGATCAACCTTTGATATTGGGAGAAACCCTATACTGAGAGAAATGTGAAATGTCCTCAATTTCAGAAGAGTTTAGGCTTTCATCTAAGTCCTCTATAACCTTGGCATAAAATCAAAGAAGGATATATTAAGTTTGAAATGTCCCAATTAGTTTTATAAAAGATACCGTGTTTAGTTCAGCAGTATGGATAAATCTTATTATTATATACTTAGTAGTAAATACATTTAAATTGTTTGTGTAATACGATCTATGACAATCGTGCTGTATCAGTCAACCATGATGATATCAATATCAGTCACGGTTGCAAAGGCTTTATTACACCCTTAAACTGTATGACGTCAGGTCATCGACATCAGTCACTGTTGCAAAGGCTTTATCAAACACCTAATCTGTATGACGTCAGTCACAGGAAAAAATAAATGGAGAATGTGTCCCCATGGACACAGATGATGCCCCCGCTTGCATACAACATTACAAAGGGTCATAACTCAAGAACGATAAAAGTGACGCTACCCAAATTTGTACTTGATCTTAGTTTTGTGGTAATAAGTATTGTGTATAGGTTTCATAATGTTTGGTTGGAGCAAACTTAAATTACAGAACGGAAACTAAAAATATTTCAATTTTTCGATTTATAAAGGGGCATAACTCGAGAATAGTTAAAGTGACCCCACCAAAATTCAAACCTGATCTGTATTTTGTGGGTATAAGCATTGTGTATAAGTTTTATAACAGTTGGTTCAGGCAAACTTAAGTTAAACGGGAACTAAAAAATTAAAAAAATTTCCATTTATAAAGGGGCATGACTCTAGAACAGTTAAAGTGACGCCACCAAAATTCAAATGTATCTGTGTTTTATGGTAATGAGCATTGTGTATAAGTTTCATAACATTTGGTTGAGGCAAACTCAAGTTAGAGAACGGAAACCAATTCTGGGACATACGGACGTACGTACGTACAGACGGACAAGGGTAAAACTTAATGCCCCCTCCGCTATGGCGAGGGCATAAAAATTGTTAACCTTATCGCTTGAACCCATTATCACGAGAACCCTTTACTTACATTTACCTTCTATATGTATCAGTGAAAAAACTTCAGTTATTTTCATTTCATCACAGTTGTATTATTATTGCACTAGTTTGATTATCATGGTTATTAATCAATAACTTTGACATAAATAGTAATCCATTTCACATACATTTATTGTGTCTTAGTTAAATGTCTATCCCCATAAAAGTATTGTTGTCTAGTAAACATTCTAACCAAATAAAACAGAACACAATCAACATTTGTAAATGTTACCATTTTTCATAAAAGCATTATCTAATTGGACAAACTAGTTTGCATATGTGAGTAAATACTGACTATACCCTACAGTCCAGAATCAAACATTATCCACGATTTTATTTTCTTACAGTTCACCCACAGTACACACACATTCAGTAAAAAAAATCACTCTTGCTGGTGAATCTAGATGATAGCTGTTGATTTAGAGTGTATTTTAGTGAATCAGGGTGATTGCTGGTGATTGGTGATTATTAATTCCTGTCATATCCTTTTTATTAAATACATATCAAAAAGATATATATATTCACCGTGTAGGCACTTTACAAAAGGACATGACTAGTTTGTTCCCTTAACCCGTAATCAATAAAAAATAAAATTATGATAAAAGTCCCATTATCTACGGGAACTAGAAATAAAAATATATAACTTGTTCTGAACAAAACATAATTCGGTAAATGTCTAATATCAGCTTGAAGTTTTAATGTTCCTGAGTCGCCCATCAAAACTGTAATCTTTTCTACTTATATTCCATTACAATCTACAATAGTAAGAAGAAATTATTAGATAAAGTTAGGATACAAGATTCATGTTAACTAACAAAGCGTTGTTTAATTTTGGAATTACCATAGGAACCAGAATTTTAGAGTGCTATGTTTAACATTTGATGTCATTATTTCAAAATTCAAAGATTCATATTTTTTTTAAACTTACTTTGTATTTAACAATTCAAAGAAGTCATTATTTACCCTAACTTCTATCGCAATTCCTAATATTTGCTTCATATGAGAACTGACGATGAAATGTTTGAAATTGGAAACCTACGTTAATTCCTCTAATGCCTTCAACAACTTGTCCTTTGCTCTGACTTTTAGTTCCTACAATACAACGAACAATAAATAAATTATTGAAACAAACTTCAAGTTTCTACAATTAATAAACACCTCAGAGATTTGTCAGAAAGAAATGTATATGTAGTTGGAAACTATTCAATATCTATAACCCACACAATTTAATATTTATTTATATTATGAAAACTGTTTTGACCCAATCAAGCCCTTTTATTTATCCCTCCCCATAGAAATTTAAATTTTAACTTAACAGTAACAGACCTAAAAAAAAATCTATTTCCATGAGGCACAAGAAAAAAAGTTTAATGAGCTAAAATAAAACTAATAGAATAAACATAAAACCATACAAAGTGTCAACCATATCAGGCACAGTTGCCCGCATCCAGGTCATATGGTCCCTGGTAGATAGCTTCATTATTTGGTACCTGGTAGTTTCACTGACAATATACACAATTGAGTACCAAGTAGATAGTTGTCTCATTGACTCTCATACCCCACCATATTTTCTTATTTTAAAAACTTTTTGTAACTACTTTCTGAAGTGGTTCACAAGTTGGTTTTGATGACTTACAGTCTCTTATTTTGTATGTAATTGGAAAGCTTGTGTGTACTAGACTCTGGATTAATCCCACCATATTTTATTCCTGTTACTTTCCAGCTGTTACTTTCCAGAGGAGTCTGTGATGGTCTGTTATTCTTTCCTGCATTTTTGGTATCCATACAATGAATTACTATTCCTCAGAATATTTCAGGGATTTGAGGGAATTTAAGATTTTCAAATTCTTATTTTTTCTAGTACTGGTAAATGACATACAAAATTCTAATTATCTCAGTATTCAAATATCTTGCATATAACATTACAATATCACATATTTAAGCAGCTCCCTTTTGTTAATTTTTCTTTTCTTGAATGTAATGTTTCTTTTGCCTCATCTATTGTGTTTATTTCAACAAAAAAATTCAAGTTATTTATTCAGTACCACGTCATGCACATGGACCATTCAGAGTTCTACAGACTGTAACTGCTGTAAACAGGGTAATTTTCATGCAGGGGTTATTTTCTCTAACCTGACAGTCACGTCAAAAGTGCTAAAATATTCTAAGCGCAAATAGTTTTTTAAATGAGAAACTATTGATACAAAGTACAAATTTTATGAATGAGTGACTCTAACCCACGCAAGAAAACTGTATACTACAATGTTAATGTGATAATACCATCCCGCCATAACATCAATGCTCACAATATACATATTTACCTCATCCTTATTGTATGAATATCCTTCCTCATGTTTTTCCTCAAGAAGTTCAATCTGCTTCAATTTCTTCTCGATTTTCTTAATTTCTCTTTTCTTAGCATCTTCAAAATTCTGTGAAGTAAAAAAAAGGTAACTAACCGTCAAATTTCAAACAATCAGAGGTATTCTAATGGTCAGTGAAAGAATATTTCAGTGATTTGTGAATGGAAAAAACCATCATTTGATAAAAGTTAAAAAAAACAAGAATGTGTCCATAGTACACTGATGCCCCACTCACACTATCATTTTCTATGTTCAGTAGACCATGAAATTGGGGTCAAAACTCTAATTTGGCAATAAAATTAGAAAGATCATATCATAGGGAACATGTGTACTAAGTTTCAAGTTGATTGGACTTCAACTTCATCAAAAACAATTATCCAGGGAAATACAATGTTTTCCTCAATCCTAAAAAGTTGATAACAATGAAAATATATGAACACACAGTATCACTTGCATTATGTCAAAAAATTAAAAGTTACTTTATGAAAGTAGGTGAATTTAATTGATTGATTCTTGGTTGCTTAACATCCAGTGGCAGTTATGAAAGTGAATGATATCAAACCAAAATAAATTTATTTGCAGATTACTAGACAATCATTATAAAAAAATATTTTTAACAACATTTGTTTTAAAGAATGTGTTAACAAATAAATCAATATCTTGTAATAATCAATTTGAAATTAAATGTCTCACATGTAGGCAGCCATTTGAGTATTATCTGTGAGGTCACAACTAAGGTTCAACTTCAGGTTTTACCTGTCCTAGCATTTGCAACTTGTGAAGGAAAACTAAAGTGGGCAAAATCTGATGGGTCTTGTTGCTTACAACTTCCAACCCAAGCTCACTTTTGGAAGAAATTAAAGATCAAAATCAAGCTGCATTAGCACCTTTAGAAGCTGTAGTTTGGACACAGGATGAATGGTACAAATTCAAACAATAGAGGAATGGTTGGAATGAGTGAATGTAAGGAAATTCCATACCCTGAAGGAATGTTTGTTGTAAAGAATCAGATTTGGTGCTAATGAACTTGGAAGACCACAACTGCATCACCATGCGTCTTTGTAACGACACTTTAATTCAAAATCCTGATGTATCAGTACTGGCTTGTTATAAAACTGGTATAGTGGGGATGATGTAGCAAATATCTCCCTTTGTACCCTTCAATACAAAAGAGCTCCACAATATGTTGCTATCCAGTAATTGGTGGGAAATCCATTTTTTTTTAATTCTAACTAGCCTATTTGACATTTCAAAGTATAAATTTGAACAACTTGAAAGTTTAAACAATAAACCTTATCCTCAACAATAATTCTTTTAACTGAGCTGATTTTTTTTTTTTTTGGGGGGGGGGAGGGGGGGGGGAGCTTCTTCTTTACTGTATACTTACTGCATTAATGGACCCCTCTTGAACAGGGGAAACTGAAAGAAGAAAAAAATCATTTAATAATTAAAGTATTCAATCTGATATTGTTTAATTATAGACTTTATTTAAATGATTCAAATGTCTTTTAACAATTTCACTACTGCATATAACCATATGACAGACAGTCTGACAAGTGTAACAAATTTTATGTTGGTGAGACAAATTTTGGTAAAATTTATAAATTATCATAAGTCACAAATATATCTATGGAAATTCCAATTTTATACTAACTTTTTTTTTTAAATCTTTGAAAAAAACAAACAATTTTGAGTTTATTAAGGCCAAGCTTATACTAAATACCAGAGAGAGTGTTAATTGGAACCAGTATCAGTGAAAACAAGTTATTTTTTCCAGATGGCAGATGTTCCTCTTAAATTTTATCACGTAGTCTGTTTGCTGAATGTAAAATTGAGAATGGATATGGGCAATGTGTTAAAGAGACCAACAACCCGACCAAAGTACATAGACAATAACTGTTAATTAGCGTCTTTAAATATCAGCTGTATTTGTACGAGGCTGAAAAACAATGTGTAATGCAAGCTTTAGCGAAATATTACTCGTTTTGAGCGAAGTACAAATACAGCTGATATTTAACGACACTAAACTGTTATTGTCTTTATCCTGCAATTAATTCTGTATATTGTTTGTGATTTCAAAGACAGAAAAATTCACATTTATTGCATTTATTTTCTATTTAAAATCCCTAGAGGCCAGCGCAGTAATATTAAATCACACATTCAGTTGAAGACAGGTTTGCAGAAAAGAATTTCAAATGGTCAACAATAATACATCCCTTAAAGTAAATAATTATCTAATCTAAAATAACAACTAATTTCAAGAGAAAAAATTATTACAAAACATTGTCCAATTTGAAACAAAAGTGAATGAGTTGTCCTATGCTTCAGAACTTTGAACTGAACTTGACATTCACTTAACATGCTGAAATTGACATTATTGCGTGGTTGATTTTGTGTATCAATGATTGGTGCCGTAGAAAATGGAGTTAATCCTGCTGTTCATGTTTGTCTATTAGCAGAAAATGGGTTTAATTCTTATTGCTCTAAAAAATGCTTGAAGACGAACAGAATGTAAATTAATCTATCGTTCGCATAAGGTCAAGCGATATGTCATTGGAATGCGACTGTAATACACATTCTGAGGTCGCGCAGGTTCATACAAGACTCGTCAACAGCAATACACAAACGTAGTCTGGCAGTGGGCTGAGCTTTAAAGCGATACCTGTATAGTGTACAGATACAGCCTAGCGATATCTGTTGGGCTGTATATGTATGATAAGACACCCAATTGCAGGATAAAATGTATAAGTTTTGGTTAAGCATTTTCTACAAATGGTCACTAATATAAGTTATATGGTTCGCTACTGACCCCCTACGGATCCATAGAGGGTTAGTAAAATCCATAGGGGGTGAGGCCGGAGGCCGAATCTCCTATGGATTTTATTCACCCTCTATGGTCCGTAGGGGGTCAGTAGTTAACCGTATAACGAATTTATCGCACGCGATACTTTTTCTGCAGCGTTTTGTAGAAAAATAAACAATGAAATACAAAAACATCAATAGATGACGTCACCATTAACAGGAGACGTGACGTCATGAACCCACTATGGAATTTACTAACCCCCTACGGATCCATAGGGGGTCACCACGTGACGGCGTTAAACCAATCACAACGTGATAATTTACCCGCGGTGCGATAACAGAAAATATAGGTAAATGCAATTTCTGGAAACAGATAAGACTATTTTTTCGAGTTTTCCAATCAAATAAAAAAGGTTTGCTGACCTATTGACCCAATTTCTTTTCAGCAGGTGTTAACACATATATTTGATTCAGCCAAAATGGATTGATTGATTGTTGTTGATTTAACGCCATTTTTAAGCGCCACTATTGGCCTATTTCGTGGTTGCCAGTTTTTATTGGCGGAGAAAGCCAGAGTGCCCAGAGAAAACCAGTGACCTTTGAAAGGAAAACTGACAATCCTAGTCAATTAAGATTGGAGTCAAGTGCACCCGCACGTGCTGGGTTCGAACTCACAACCTCAGTGTTGACTGGCTAGTGATTACAGTAGTAGAACTACTTAGACCACTTGGCCACCGAGACTCCCAGCCTAATTGGAAACAATTACAATAAAAGATTAATACTATCCCTTAAAACATTTTCTTACCTCTGCTTATCTCTCCAGTATCTGATGGTACTTTAACAACAACAAATGACGGAGATGCAGGAGCTCCTTCCATATCTGCAATACAACACACATTTTAACAAGGATAAACCAGTATATTTTATTTTACAAGTTAATCCCCATAATTCTTGAACAACAAAGTGAAAGTTGCCAAAAAGTATACACACATGTACAGAACTTACTGGAGTTATGGAACATATTTCAAGGCATACTTTAATTAGTTTGCTATATTCTATACTGTAAATTCAGGAATAATTGGATGCATTTATTATTGTGTTTTCTGAAGAACGGACAAAAAAGCAAGATTACATATTGCCATTTCAAGTTAATCTGCAAAAAGACATATGTATTAGATATCAAAATGTAAGTTCTTATTATTACGATCCTAATTCAGTTGCATTATTCACAATAATAAAAATCTTGCAATAATTCCTGAATTTACAGTATGTGAAATTTGCTTATTGTTTGAAGATTCAAATCTCATAACTGAACATTTTGAGTATTTTTTCCCCTTTTGTTTGAGCCCCTTTCTGTCAATGCAACGGAAGAAAACTCTTGCCTATTAACACTATTTCATACTTTGAAAGCGGTTCACACTTGCCTCGAAGCACCCCTCTTCCAAGTCCTACACTAAAAGCAGAAGGGGGTAACAACCCCACTCCTCTACCAATTCCAGCTGGAGCTCTAGCAGGGGCAGGAGGACTTTCATTTTCCTTATTTCCACCAACAAGCTTTACAATATCTTCTTCTCTGTCATCAAAATCAGCAAACTGTCCTGGCAACTGCGTTTCCTCATCTCTATCAGAAGCAGCAAACTGGCCGTTAAACCCTAAATAATATAAACTAAAATTGGAACAAGAATACACAACACTGCAATAAATTTTAGAAAGTAAAAAGTTCCGATTAAAACTTACTTTCTTTGAAATTTATAAAATCTCACTAACTATTTATTTTTTCAGTCAAATTAAATTATGAAATCGTGATAAAATGAAGATAACATCTCTCTAAGGCAAAGTAAAACTAAAAGGACTTTTGACTATTCTATTTTTAAATAGACCTTTTGGATCTTATACTCTCAAATGTTTCATTCGTTTGGCTTTCAAAACTTTTGGTTCCAAAATTTTGTAAATTTAGTGAAAATTGTTATGATAACTGAGCTAATCTGACATTTATTTAATCTTAAATGTTCTAGTCTTAATATGGATCAAATAACATCTTTATTCTCCTGTCTTTTTTCATAAAAATTTCTTTACAATAGAATATGCAGCAAAATTGGTCATTCATTTGAATTCTCTTTTCAAGTCATATAAATTATGTTCTTTGTAAAACTATCTGGTAAATCATCCTTAGGACAATTTATAGCATGTTCAACCAAATTTTGTGATATATAACTAACCAACTTACTACTTCAAGACTAAAAACCCTACAGCCAGAACACCGAGACAGTTCTAAAGTGTTTGGTACTAATTAAACTAATAAAACTTTGTCGCCTTTATACAGATGTATCTTTTGACTGTACTTTGAACAAACCTGGTGGTACTATTTTTGATTTTGGTACGTTACTCATCATGCCATTAACTTGTGCTGTGCCATTCATAGTCGGAGCATAGTTCAGAGCAGATGCTCTACCCATAGCCCGTCCAGCAGGTGGCATAGATGTGGCCATACCACGACCTACTGCAGGCACGCTCTCTACCCTGCCGCGACCTACTGCTGCCATTTTCTGTGCTCTACCTGCTGCCTGTGGTATTTCCTGATTCATTGCAACTCCACCTGTTGGTGAAAATCAAGAAATTTTAAAAGGCTAAAATACTTGACAGGTCATTTAAATTGTTCTTTCATGTTCTTTTCATATCACAGCACAACTATATATTTATTGATCAAAGAAATGTTTGGTACTCACAGGGTGTAAGTGAGTTTGCTCATCATTTAAACACTCTACTTTATATCAGCCGCAGGAAATACCTGAGATTATCATTTTTTAAGGGGGAGGGGCAAATATTAGGGGTAAGGCAATGTCGAAAAACCCATTATCATATGTTGGGTCAAACTGGAGTTTTCCACTGATTAAAATGGAATTTTTTAGACTGCTTAAATACTGTCTATAAACTTTTTTTTAAAAGGTTGTTTTGCTTGCATTTATCACTTCTGTTTTAAACAAGATAGAAAATTTGGTTTTTTTTGTGCCAATATATCAAAAATAATGTCAAAATTAGCAATTCAGTCCAAGACTAGAAAAAATTTTGAAAATAATTTTCTTAGCAAGTCATAGACTTTTCTTGAAGTCCAAATCATGTCAAGAACATGAATGATATTTTATGTTGTTGTCACTGATATTTAATAGTAAGCATTTCAGAGCAGGGCTTCCAAAACAGTCATATATTCCGGACTTGACCGAAATTTATATAAAAAGTCTGGCTGCTCTCAGCCTCAAACGGTCAAATATCATAGGTTTGCCACTTTTTGTTATTCAAGGCATTTTCATAAAACGGTCATTTCACTTTTTTTTTACCAACTATTGATCGGTAAAAATGTTCGTTTGTGCATTATAGTTTATAATTGTGGCAATCTCAGTCTTCACGCTGAGTGGCAGCCCAGGCAGCCCAGGCTTGTAATATTGCTCTCGGGCCTGTAAAAATCATATCTACTAGCCAACAGAATCTAACTAAAAATTTTCAAAAATTGAGCTCCGGGCCTGTAGATTTAGCAGTTCATCGTGAAGACTGCAATCTATTTCACAAAGATATTTCGGTCATATTTGGGTTTAATTAAACACATGCAGCATATTTCATACTTTGAAGTGTCTCAGTTAGTCTAATCTTCTGGGTACACAAATGACGGCTTGGTACATCAATAAAAAGTAGAAAAAAAAATTGTTCTTTTATTTAAAAAACAACAAGCTGTCAAATAATTATCCCTTCAATAAGTAATATTGAAGCCATAAATCATTCACTGATTACAGGTCATTACCTTTGATGAGAGACCTTAGCTTGTCTTAATCAATAGAATTGATGATGCATAACAATGAACATAAAGGTGATCAGGTAAACAAGGTCAAACATGTAAGCGTGTATGGAACCTCGTGATCAGGTAAACGAGGTCAAACATGTAAGCGTGTATGGAACAACATCCTATTTAATTACACTTTGTAGATATTATTGTATATGACCATTCAGTTTTAAAAAAGTTTCCTTAGATTTTAAAATAATTCTTCAAATAAGAATATTTATAAATGAATTCGTATATGTATGATATTCATTATTTTATTTAAAAACACTGTACATCGTGTTAAATACTGGGGTACGCTAAAGGGTATTCAAAGTTATTTTCTTACATTTCAGCGGGTTGCATCTAATTAATTTAGTCTAAAAGATTGAAATTATAAGAAATACGTTAACAGTCAGAGATATAACTCTATAGGGTTATCACAGAAAATAACTTGCGTGTGTTATTACAGATACTTTCATGAGTTGTCTACTCTTTATTCCTTAAATTTTCTAAATCTGTAATAACATATGTTTGTTATTTGTAAAATTATTTCATTTATAGTGGCCTCTAGGGATCTCTTGAGACTTTGCGCAGAAACTAAATGCATAGCCTTGATAACTAATTTTTTAATTAAATTAATACATTTTTGATTAACCATGGTAAATCAATGAGACGAGGCTATTAAGGGATAAACTTAGCTGTGATAACAAGGCTCAGTTATTAAAGGAATTTAACTTATTATATAAGACACTTGGGAATTACTGAGAAACTTGCGCAGAACCTCATTACATGTCGTCTTCACGCTGAGTGGCAGCCCAGGCAGCCCAGGCTTGTAATATTGCTCTCGGGCCTGTAAAAATCATATCTATAAGCCAACAGAATCTAACTAAAAATTTTCAAAAATTGAGCTCCGGGCCTGTAGATTTAGCAGTTCATCGTGAAGACTGTACATGCTCTGGTCATTATTTCTTACAATAAATTAAAATACATTGTAATTAAGCATGATGTATGTCTGAGCAAATGCTTTGAAGTGATATAGAGAAGCTGTGATAACACCCTTTAGATATTACAGGCATATTTTTTCTGTAATAACATATAGGTGTACTATGCAAAATTGGCAAACTATGAACTGTTATATCTTTCAATAGTTAAGTATACATATAGACAAAAGTAATATCAATAGAACTTTTAAACATTTTAACTAAACTAATGATGTATATTGTCCCTTTGAAATATATAACATACATAAGTTATCACAGTTCTTTGATTTTTTAGTCCACAATAACAAATGTATGTTATTTTTCTGTAATAACCCTATAGAGTTATATCCCTGACTGGTTAATAAATATGATTTGATGAAAAATTTGAAAAGGTTTTAAATGAATAATTGTCAGAACCACCTTGTTTGAACTAGTACACGTGTGCGCATGTGTCTATTGTCCGCTGGTGGGAAATTTAATTATGCATCCTAATTCTTCAATAATGCTAAAATTATCATTGATACCTTTATCAAACGTTCATTTCGAGTATTTTCTTGAAGAAATAACTTGAAAAGGCTACTTAACTCAATCATAAACTTACACGGATATTACGTATCCGTCTCTGATCTGTGATTTAACATTGTCAAGTCAACATCCGGCATTAGGAAAATGTGATTTTAAAAACGAAAGTAAAGCTTTTGACAGCGTTATTTTGCACAAATAAAGAGTCTAAAGCGGAAGTAGTACGCTGATGTTGCACACTTCGAATGCTGCACTTTCAATTTAACACTTTACGTTAGAACATCGAATTTTTATCAAAGTAAAGTTTAACATCGTTTTAATGTCAATCATTGGTTATATCATATATGATGGCCAACTGATTATCATAGTTGCCTAATTTACTAAGTCTAAATGGATTTAAAATCGGGATAAGATATGAAATGTCCGGCTGGCTCAAAAAATTTTTGGAAGCCCTGTTTCAGAGTCAATATGACAACTTAACAATAATTATGTAGAAAACTTTATTAAAATACAAATAAATTAATCAGTTAACATGGCTACCAACCTCGTCCAATGCCTGCCATAGCCAGACTGTATGATAACACCTGTGATTGTTGAGGTGGAGGTTGAGCTATCATAAATTTAGAGGCTTGAATGCGTGGCTTGCGGAGTTGTCCATCCTCTTCCTCTTCTTGTTTCTCCTGTAGTGGATACCTAAACAAAATTATTCAAAATAATTTCACCATGTTTAAATAGAATCTGACAGGGCTTCTAGCTAAGCTCTTCCATAATCTTGTCATTAAATATAATAATAATACCTATATAGAGACTGCATACAACTTAACAATAGGTAATATATATATGAAAAATATGCTAAGGATTTAAATGAACCCTGTGTCACCTGTTATTTCTGCTGTCAGTGTAAAAGTGTTATTATTTTAACTGCAAAAAGTAGTTAATATAAGAAAAACTAACCAAAACAAAAATTTTCTTCAGATGCTATTTCTTAATCATGAAGAAGTTTCTATTCCAAGTTTTGTAACATTCCAAGACTTTTAACAAAGTTATTGAAGTCTTTTGTCAAATGCTTGACAACAAAAAAAGATGTGGTTTAAATGTCAATGAGACAGCAACATCACAAAAAACTAAATACATGATCTTCAACAAGACAGTTGCCAATACAATATGTTAAAACTATTAAACAGAGACCATCAAAGCTCTGACACCCAACACAGAACCCTCCATTGTCAATAAAAAAACAAAGATATGACCAAAGACCAACCTTGACAAGGTTTCTGAAAGTATAAACAAACTTACTTCCTCTGATCAGGAGGTAGATGGCATTGATTCCTCCAAGATTTCTTCTCAGATCTACTCATTCTGGAAAATACAATAGATGTATATGAATATTACATGTACTGGTATTACATGTACATAGCACTCCGCAATTCATTCCAAGGTTTTAAGCTGACAGAATCTATGACTTGCACCACTTTTCACCCATTGAAATGGTTTATCAAGATTAAAAAAGATGCTATTTTTTGGTTATCTTAACATAACATTACTATTTTCAATATCATTACAGTATATATATATATTAAATTAATAATTAAGATCCATGTTACATCTCGTGATCAATTTATTTGGCAATCATCAATGGCAGTCAGCAGGGTTTAAGAACATCAGTTGTTCGACCTGTTAGTCAAATTTGATTTGTTAAAATATACTTTCCCTTTTTTGGTCTTTTGGAAAATGTTGTTTGTGTATAAAAATTGCGGTTTTTATCCAACGCAATCATAGGTATGAACGTTGTTTTCAATTTAGACTTGTTTATATATGTAGGACTCTAAAGTGCGATGGGGACGCTAAAACGCGATGGTCACTCTAAAGTGCGATGGCCTACGCTAAAGTGCGATGGTTTGATACGCTAAATTGCAATGGTCTGTGCTATTCATTTGAACACGCTAAAGTGCGTTTTTCCGCAAAAGTATCGACGTTAGCAACATTCGACAGCATTATGACGAGATTGTTTGTCCAGATTAAGGATTTTTATTACACAAGAAAAGAAAGAAGAGAGAAACAAATGATCACAATCTGGAACTATTTTGGTCGTTGCTGGAAGAGGTTAACTTAATTTGTAAAATTGTAAAAAGAGCTTTAATCAAAACAGTTACTTTCTAATTGAATAATTCTATAAAAAAAAAATTACAATATGGTTTGTTATTTCTGTTAAATAATGAAAATACTTCAACTAGACAGCAACCTGACGAACAGATGTGTAGTATCATCATTAAATATGATTGGCAATACGACAACTCTCTATCCCCCTCTATCCACGACCTAATGTCATTGATGTATGCAACTCTAGGTATGACCTTTAACGCGGAGCATTGTCTTACACAACATATTATTTTTATTAAAAAACGACTTCCACTAAATTCCGGATATACTAACTATACTGCAGTTTAACCATTACACTTTTTGGACAATTATCGTACTTTAAATAATAAAATGCTTCGCTGGGGCGCAGCTTGATACGACCGCAGAGGTCGAACCCTGAACAGTTGGGGCAAGTATGGACACAACATTCAAGCTTGATACAGCACTGAATTTGGATTGTAATTAAATATTTGACACAGCATAGGTTTCTGACACAGAATGAATGTGGTCTAAGAACTTAAAAAATTTTAATTTATCTATTCAAACCATATCATTATTATTTGCTTTTATATATAAATCAGAAATAACCAATTTAAAATGGAAAATTTCAAAGAAAAAAAAGGAAAAAAAATTCCCCTCCCCCCAAAATTTTTTGAACCCCCTTATGATTCATCAACCTCAAACTCAATCCCAGCCTTCCCTTTGTGGTATGGTACCTTGCAGTACATATGATGGACTGTGAAACTAAGATCAGGAGTTTGGGAAATTTTGGTCAGGAGATTAGGACTCAGATCAGGAGGTTTTTAATCGACATAAATTCTGTCGTAAATGTAACCGTGTGCTGTAGAAATTGTCTGTTAAAGTGTGCTTTCTTCAACTTTCCATCCGAATGTATTATGTTTATAGTACCCTTGTACTTATAAATTTTCTCTATCTTTTTAAACTTTCAACTTGTTCAATCTAACATTCTTCTTTTTAAGTATGTTCTTTAAATTTTTTAGGTCATATCTTTTTTTTCATTATTCATTGCAATCAGAATATTTGCTTATCTATCTGCAAGTAGATCTTTTATTTTAATCTTTATGCAAGTAGATTTTTAATGCATGATAAGTAACACATTCAAACTGTAATCATGGGTCATAGTTAATATATAAATTTCAATTTAAGCCTTGAAAGGAAGTATAGAACCCTCAAATAATTTTCAAATTATTATTTTTTTATTTGTCCTAAGACATTTAAAATCATTTAATTACCATCCTTTTATGATTATTTGTTCAATTTATATTTTATTTATATTCTTTTAAAAATTTACATTATTTAAAGGAAAGTAACTTAAAACAGGATAAATCAAGGGAAGTAACCCAACATTCATTTATAAATATACAAAGTTTTATTACACAACGGCAGTTAGCCTGATGTAAAAATCGTTGATTACCAGTATGTTTGACACCCAAGGTGACAAGTGAAGCCATATAATTATCATGTTAATTGATTTACAGGTAAAATATAACTTCAGGTAATGTCAGTTACACCAGATATGTTGGGCTGAAATTTTTCATTCATGAAATATTTCATACACAGGATTTTTTTGTCTTCAACGGGAGGTCGGGAGGAGACCCCTGAAAACGGGATTATTGTATTCCCTTCGGGAGGTTCACATGTATGATTACTGTACAATTTCAGAGAGATCAATACACTTGAACAAAAGTTATTGTCTGGAAACTAGAAAAATGCTTATTTTTTGGCCCCTTTTTGGCCCAAAATTCCTAAACATTTACGGCAATTACCCCCAAACTCAAACCCAGCTTTCCCTTTGTGATATGGAACCTTGCAGTACAATTTCATAAAGATCCATACACTTGCACACAAGTTATTGTCCTGAAACTAGAAAAATGCTTGTTTTTTGCCCCTTTATGGCCCCTAATTCCTCAAATTTCTAGGGATTTAACCCCAAAATCAATCCCAGCCTTTCCTTTGTGGTATGGTACCTTGCAGTACAATTTCAGAGAGATCCATACACTTGAACAAGTTATTGTCTGGAAACTAGAAAAATGCTTATTGTTGGCCCCTTTTTGGCCCCTTATTCCTGAACGTTGTGGGAAATTACCCCCAAAATCAATTCCAGCTTTCCCTTTGTGATATGGAACCTTGTAGTACAATTTCATAAAGATCCATACACTTACACACAAGTTATTGTCATGAAACTAGAAAAATGCTTGTTTTTTGCCCCTTTTTGGCCCCTAATTCCTAAAATTTGGAGGCAAGTACCCCCGAAATCAATCCCAGCATTCCCTTTGTGATATGGAACCTTGTGGAACAATGTCAGAGATCCATACACTTACACACAAGTTATTGTCATGAAACTAGAAAAATGCTTGTTTTTTGCCCCTTTTTGGCCCCTAACTCCTAAAATTTGGAGGCAATTACCCCCAAAATCTATCCCAGCATTCCCTTTGTGATATGGAACCTTGTAGTACAATGTCAGAGAGATCCATACACTAACACACAAGTTATGTCTGGAAGTTACAAAAATGCTTATTTTTGGCCCCTAATTCCTTAACTGTTGGTACCATAACCCCCAAAATCAATCCCCACCTTCCTTTTGAGGTATTGAACCTTATGGTAAAATTTCATAGAGATCCATTCACTTAAACTAAAGTTAGAGTGCGAAAACCAATGTGTCTTCGGACGACGACGACGACGCCAACGTCATACCAATATACGACCACAAAATTTTTTTTGCGGTCGTATAAAAATAAGAAGATGTAGTATAAATTATCAATCCAACCCCAAATGTTGTTCATGTATGCAACTAATAATCATACGGCCGTCAACGTAAAGCCTTGGCCCATGCCGCATAACAAGCTATATAGGGTTATAAAATGACCAGTGTAAAACAATTCAAAAGAGAAAGACTACGGCTTGATATATAAATAAAACATTAAAACGAAAATGTAATAGGAACTCAGTAACAAACGAAAACAATTGCCTGAACCACATTCCCGTTACACCATCGGACTTTAGCGTGTCATATCATTGCACTTTAGCGTGATATCTGATCGCACTTAAAAAAAAAAAACCATCGCACTTTAGCGTCTGACACCATCGCACTTTGGCGTAGACCATCATACTTTAGCGTGACCATCGCACTTTAGATTACCATCCCACTTTAGAGTCCTACAATATATATTAACCAACTGCAAAATAAAGAATGCAGTATTCTCATGTAGACTGTTAAGGAGAGGTTTAAAATGTTATATTGTGTTTTACAGCAGTGAATACAAGAGGCTCTCAAGAGCCTGAATCGCTCACCTGTTATTTTTTTTGCTTAAATCTTTCATCAATGATTATTTTTGCTTTTCACCCATATGTTCCATTTTAGCCATACTGTCTGTTTCTTGACGTAGAAGAAATGAAATACCAAATTTATACTAGATTCATTTGAGAAGATTTTTGAAGTTAAAAAACATAAAACAACTTGTGTAAAATTGTCCGTAAAAGGGCAATAACTCCTTAAGGGGTCAATTGACAATTTTGGTCATATAAACTTTTTTGTAAATCTTACTTTGCTGATCATTTTAGCTGTTTACAGTTTATCTTTATCTTCAATAATATTCAAGTTATAACCAAAAACTGAAAAATTTCCTTAAAAAACAAATTTAGTGGCAGCAACCCAACAATGGGTTGTTCGGTGGGTCTGAAAATTTCAGGGCTGATAGATCTTGACCTTTTGAACATATTTACCCCATGTCAGATTTGCTCTAAATGCTTTAGTTCCTGAGATATAAGCCAAAAACAGCATTTCACCCCTATGTTCTATTTTTAGCCATGGCGGCCATGTTTGTTGATGGATCAAAATTTCAGATAAAATTCATAAACTAGATTCCTAAAGGAACATTCATTCAAAGTTAAGAAGTATTAGGCACAATAGTTTCAGAAGAGAAGATTTTTAAATGTTAGCAAACTTGATGAACACATTGCGTAAAATTGTCTTTAAAGGGCAATAACTCCTTAAGGGGTCAATTGACAAATTTGGTCATTTAACTTTTCTGTAGATCTTACTTTGCTGAACATTATTGCTGTTTACAGTTTATATCTATCTATAATAATATTCAAGATAATAACAAAAAACTGCAAAATTTCCTTAAAACTACCAATTTAGTGGCAGCAACCCAACAATGGGTTGTTCGATTTGTCTGAAAATTTCAGGGCTGATAGATCTTGACCAATTAAACACTTTTACCCATGTCAGATTTGCTCTAAAAGCTTTAGTTTTGGAGATATAAGCCAAAAACTGCATTTGACCCCTATGTTCTATTTTTAGCCATGGCGGCCATGTTTGTCGATGGATTAAAACTTTGGATACAATTTATAAACTTGATATCCTAAGGAACATTAAGATGAAGTTTGAAGCTATTTGGCCCAGTAGTTTCAGAGGAGAAGATTTTTAAATGTTAGCAAACTTGATGAACAAATTGTGTAAAATTGTATTTAAAGGGCAATAACTCCTTAAGGGGTCAATTGACAATTTTGGTCATATAAAAACTTTTTTGTAGATCTTACTTTGCTGAACATTATTGCTGTTTACAGTTTATATCTATCTATAATAATATTCAAGATAATAAAAAAAAACTGCAAAATTTCCTTAAAACTACCAATTTAGTGGCAGCAACCCAACAATGAGTTGTTCGATTCGTCTGAAAATTTCAGGGCTGATAGATCTTGACCAATTGAACAATTTTACCCCACGTCAGATTTGCTTTAAAATCTTTAGTTTTTGAGATATAAGCAAAAAACTGCATTTGACCCCTATGTTCTATTTTTAGCCATGGCGGCCATGTTTGTCGATAGATCAAAACTCCGGATACAATTTATAAACTAGATACCCTAAGGAACATTTAGTTAAAGTTTGATGGTATTTGGCCCAGTAGTTTCAGAGGAGAAGATTTTTGAAATAGTTTACGACGACAGACGACGACGACGGACGCCAAAGGATGGCATAAGCTCACATGGGGCCCTTTGGGCCCCGGTGAGCTAATAAAAGGCAGGTTTGCCATCAAAATTATTCAGTCAGTTTAAAGGGATTTCATCAACTTCTTCTTAGTTAAAAGGGTAAAATCCCAACTTTTGCAAGTGACAATAACTTCAGAATAGGAGACAATCTGAATAAAATACGGATCCTGTGTCTAATGCTTTGCTGGAAAGGATCTGACTACACTCCGTTTTACTTTCTGTTCTGGTAATTATTACATCAGCCAATGAAATTTCAGCCATCATTTAAATGAAGGTGTGTATTAATCCGTCAAAACCAGCGGATCCTAAAAGTTCTTTAAAACAGAAAGTAGAATGAAGCGTTTTCAGATCCTTGTAAGCAAAGTTTGTACACAAAATCTGTATTTTAATCATACTGGAATAGGAGATAATTCTCCACGATACAAGTCACCATGTATCAAAATTTCGTTAAAATTGGCAATACATAGATCTGTTTTGGGGTGGTATACAATTTAACATTTTGTAAAAATTTCAAACTGAATTCATTGTTTATTTTATGGTCAAAGATTATTCAGACAATGTTGAAAACTTTTCTAATATTAAAATAACATGTAAAGATCGTGTTCATCTCATAGGATAATGTTGCAGCCCAGAGAGCTGTGTCATTCATCAAATACTGGACTACATCTATTCTTACCCAGACATATCTTTGTATTCCATTCTAGCAAAGTATGATGGGTCTACTCCTATTCTTGGATTATCTGGTATTTCTATTAAAACAAAACTGCAATATTAGTCATGTTAGTTGTATTAAAAATTGAAATTTTACAATGTATACATATTTTGTCAGAATAACACATTTATGTAGACTAGCTTTAGAAACAGAGAAAAGCGGGATCCCCAAGCTATTATCCTGCTTTATACCTAGTACCAATAAATTCTATTTTTAACAACAATATTGTTTTTAACCTACAATTAACGATTCATTTGCTAAAATATTAAGGTCTTGAATTCCTAATCTTTTGTCTTTGATCTTAAAAAAGTCAGCATTGCTTAAACACGTTGATTTGACCTACATTTCTTTGGATGTAAACCTAAATTAGTCAATGAACCTTGAAATATTGGTCACAGAGAAACCCCAACTCAGATGTACCTATGTCATCAGCTTCAACTGAGTTTTAAGTAGATCTACTTGGCCTACTGTGGTTTACATTCAATCATACCACTATCCCACTTTCAGCAGAACAATCAACATTTACTGTGGTAATTGTTTTTCTTACCTTCATCCCAGTTTTCAGCAGATGGAGTTGACCTTTACTGTGGTAATTGTTTTTCTTACCTTCATCCCAGTTTTCAGCTGATCTACCAGGTCTACTTTGGTCATCATACTTAGGTAGATCTGTACAACCTTTGAAATTCTTGCCATCCTCTTGGTTCTTGGACTGCTCTGAAAATCACAAACACAAATAAATTGTAAAGAATAATCTCTAATCATGTGTCACTTCTTTCTCTTCCTAACATGTGGTTTTCTAATTTTCATCCCAGCCCCAAATAGTTAAAACTTCTATTAGGTCATCAATTAAATCTTTGTAATTCTCATTCTTGTCACTTGGATATCATGAAAAAAGACGACACAAATATTACATGTCTCAGAAAGATGCGCAATACTGATTTTATGGTTGATCTAGCAAAACAAAAACCTAACTAAACATATTTTGTTTCTCAGTGCATGTCATGTATAAACTGTCAATTTCCTCTTGTCATATGACTAATCAACTTTCAATTCAAGATTCAAAATCTATGTAATGCACTAACCATAACTGAGTATAGGTTCCAGCATGGCCTTGTCAGGACAGTTAGCTATGTGATATCTTAACTCAGGCTTGGGCATCTCATGTCTGGCATTGAAAGGGCATGTGGCAAATTCTCTCCCTGTGAAATTCTGCAATTAAAAAAATAATAATTAAAAGTACACAACTAGAAATGACAAATTTCAGTGTTTTTTCTAGGCCTGGCTTTAGTCAATCCCCTATCCTCTAAAATATTCTTAATGAGAGCACTAACAACGTAAGCCAAAAATTAAGTATATTCAGAAATATATGCATTCATTGAATGTTGTAATTGTTGAACAGTAAACAAAAATGCACGATTATAATTATTGTGAATTCAGGAAATTTTACATGCCTATAATGCTAAACTGTATACATGTATCAAATGTGAGGTATTATTTTTGTGAAACCTATCCTGCTGTCATTTTTGCAATAACAATATAATTTTTACATCACAAAAACTTCTGAAGAAAGGTGTTTTCTTAATTTTCACATTTTTCTTGGCCATTTCTAAGAAAACATTCTTACAGCATCAGGGCTATTCTTTTCTACAAGGGTCCTATCCAAAATTGAAAATTTAAAAGACTTTTTTTATTTTAAATACAGTTTACCCTATTCATGCTGATGACACTTTGCATATTTATATTTCAGCAACCTAAACATACAATGTAATGCTACAAAAACATTGTACATGTATTCAATCATTATTTTAATTTCTATGCCAGGATACTTAATAAATCTAATATAATTCTGCTTATTCATGTTATTCCTATATCTTTTTTTTCTTATCTTGTATCACTGTGGCATACATGAGAACAAATATGCTGTATCTCATATTTTTAATTGAAAAAATTCTTTAAGGTGTAATACCACTAATTCAAGTCCAATATTAATGCTAAACTTAAAAAAATATTCAAAGAACACATTTCACATTTAGCCCAATATTTATTCTAAACTTTTTTTGTAATATTCTAAGAACACATTTATCAAGACTCTTTGAAACATGTAAACCAGGACCTGAAAACAATGAATATCCTGTCTCATAGTACTTGAATCACTCCACACCAGGAAGATATATTTTTAAACTGAATCACCTTGTGTGTTGGTAGTTTTTTAAGCTCAATATCATTTTGAGTAAAGACAGAAATAAATCATTTAAAAATCCATTTTACGAGGTTATGTAGTACTAAATATTTTTATTTACTGATTTTTCAATTTTTATTCAAGGGTTTGAACATGTTTATATTTGTCTTGGATAAACAATACAATGTACCAACCAAATGTTACATGCATACATGTACATTATCATAGGAAATTTAATGTTTGTATTGCAGATTTTAATACATAATGTACAAATGTATTGATAATATAGGAAAACAGACCCAAGAATGCAATATGTCGTTCAACATTTTTATTTTGATGCATATATGAAATGTAGATCTTTATCGATTTGTCGTACAATGGAAATATTACTGTTGATTAAGTTATTTAATAAACTGAATAAAACAATCAATCACTATAAATGCATACATGGCAGAGCTGGCACTTTAATATAAAGTACAACTTGAAAGTTTTTGAGTCTTAAATTGGAATTTTTTTTTGTAAATGTTGTATTTCATTTGTTTCCTGTGTCCCATGTGTTTGTGCCCAATAAGGTCATTGGACCAAGGACAACTGACTGTGATCCCATGTGTGTCTGTAACGATCACCAGCGAACAAGATACCAGACTATGATAACATTTACCCTTAACCAACACAAGTGAACAAAGGACCCCTGAGTTACCCTGACTATTATAACATTTATCCTGTTAACCCACACGAGTGGACCAAGGTAGTGAAGACATTTAGCCTTCTAGCCGACATGAGTGGACCAAGGACTCCTGACTATAAAATTTACCCTTCTACATTTCATCAGATGATACTGCATGCGCTTGGCAGCTACCATGTGAACTTTGTCATAGGGGCATTCAATCAGCTGTTCTGGGTCAGGTATCTGGTAGTAAGCCATTCTGAAATATAATTAATTAAACATTTATTCATATTTGTTGCTGTATATCATATTTGTTTTAATTTCCATTGATTGTTTTGTACATAAATCAGGCCGTTAGTTTTCTGGTTAGAATTGTTTTACATTTGTCCTTTCAGGGTCTTTTCTAGCTTACTATGGGCTATGGATTTTTGAAGGTCGTACAGTGACCCATCTACTTCAAGTGGTCTCTGGTGGATAGTTGTCTCATTATGCTCATTGGCAATCATATCACATCTTCTTTTTATGTACACGTATGTATCATGTGTATATAAATATCTATATATAGATCATTCATATATTGATTACTTGTACATTTGTGTATTATTCAATCCTTAAATAAAATGGTCAGGAAATCAGTACTCAAAGCACAAGACTAAACAACACTCAAAAACACATACTGTGGATTCATTATCATTTGCCAGATATTCGGAATCCTCTGGCTTTATCCATCTAGTGCCATTAAAACTTTTGCCCGCTAACCCCTACTTTTCTTTTCTAAATTTTATAACATATATAGTTTAAAAAGCCATATTTGAAAATCTTATAAAATCCTTGTTATTTTTTCATAGTTTTTGAAAGAAAAAAGGAACCCCATTTTATGTGGATGTTAAGCAATTAAAATATTGCTGTTGCAGAAAAGAAATTTCAATTGTCTTTGATAATTTTAAATAACATGAATAATGTAGCAACTATATCTAAATAAATTGTTGTCTTTATTCATGGTTGTCATTTGATCTGTGAATTTGAATATAACCCCTGACTGTCTGTAGGGTTATACATTTACAAAAATGTATATAGGTTAAGCAGGTTGGGAGAAATTTTGATCAACTGATTCACCAAATTAAAATTAGCATTTTAACTGAATGTGACTCCTTCTGAATAATTTATTGCAATATACATGTACATATAAATCCCTTCTGAACAGAACATTTGCAAGTGGACCTCATGTCATGGCTCCATTTTTTCTTGTTTACATAAAATATTTTTGCCTCAAGAACAATGACCTAAACATACTAAACATTAACAGAATCTTCAGAAAACTTGATGCATTATCTGGACATTATAATTTAATTTATTACATAATTTAAGAAAATAAAAGATACATGTATAACACCTAAGATTTCAGTTTTGAGACCAGTGTTCTCCCTAGGCCCTTAAAGGACCGCGGTGTATAATTTTGACCGTGATGGTATCGGTCTTACCGTGATGTATATTTTTTTTTTTTAGCCCTCAATAACAAATGTATGTTATTTTTCTCTAATAACTTATTTAAGTTAGACCCTTGACTGACACTTGTTACATTATTCTTTTGTGTTTTAATTAGGAGTTCATAACTTTATGATCACTGATAACTATTTTATGGCTTCACTCACAACCCAAGCACTGACCTGTGACAAGTTTGCAAATACTTTGTACACAGTGTGAACCTGATAGTTGCACCACAGTCGCTTGAATTTTAGTGATATATATATGAATTTTTTTTTTTTTTAAATACTGGTATATATATTTACGATCCAACAATATCAGTATTTTAAGCCCACCCTCTCTTTATTTTCTACTGACATCGCTTGAAAAATATTGGCAGTGTTGAATCATAAAGATAATTACAAGAACACATTTAAAATGGGGAAAAGAAGTTTAAATATTAAATGTGTGGTTAGCTTCAATGAAACAATAATCCAACAACAAAAATATTTAAGGAGAGAAACATACATTTATTGACATTACACAGGAAAATTTCAAGCTTCAGATCATCCAAAATCAAAATAAAATTCCAGTGACAAACAAACAACGAATCGAAACCCAATTGTCTTATCTATCAATGCCTATATAAGCAACAGTAAAGGAGATAATTTAAGTAACCAACATTCTTTAAATATAAAAAAGAAGATGTGGTATGATTGCCAATGAGACAACTATTCACAAGAGACCAAATGACATGAATGACACAGAAATTAACAACTATAGGTCACTATATGGCCTTCAATAATGAGCAAAGCCCATATCGCATAATCAGCTATAATAGGCCCCAAAAGGACAAATGTAAAACAATTCAAACGAGAAAACTAACGGCCTAATTAATGTACAAAAAAATGAACGAAAAACAAACATGTAACACAGCAACAAACAACAACCACTGAATTACAGGCTCCTGACTTGGGACAGGCACATACATACAGAATGTGGCGGGTTTAAACATGTTAGCGGGATCCCAACCCTCCCCCTAACCTGGGACAGTGGTGTAACAGTACAACATAAGATCGAACTATAAAAATCAGTTGAAAAAGGCTCAACTCATCAGATGGATACAAATAGAAATACATCTAACAAAAACAGAGTGGATGTGGCCGGGTACTTGTACATCCCAACAACAAAAAGACACTCAGTACAGATCTGAGAGTAATCGCAGTTACTGACAGCTAGTTCAAAGCCAATAACAACTAACAAAAAAAATTATGCATCTAAGACTAAATTATCAATCAGTACACATTCAACATCCAATGGATTTAGTGTAAAGATGTCATTAACAGTCAAAGAAAAACATGACCTTGTGCAATGCCACGATACAGGTATTGACAGATTGTAGATCCATGAATGTGCATATATGTATATAACAATAATATTTAGTATAATAAAACCAAATTTTTCTCTTTTCTTTATCCAAGTGAAATACCCTAGGAGTTGTTAAACTTCAATAAAAAATAATTGTCGTGAAAGCAGGTAAGCTGATAAATACCTTTTCACATAAAAGTTCATACAACAGTGGTGAGCAAGCCAATAGTCATTCACCAGGTTTTCTCTGGTTGTTAAGCATCATCACAATTAATTTCCAGTTGTAAAAGCAGACCAGACGATGAAAGTCTCTCAAAATACGAGTTCATACAACTTGGATGAGCGGGCCAATCCTCATTCATCCATAAACACTTTAAATTTTATTGTCGCTTCCATTCTTGACATCACAGTGAATAATATCCACCCCCTACCACCCCCTTTTTTGTGGGGTTTGTCTTCCTCAGTCTTTAGTTTTCTCAATGTTGTGTTTTGTGGACTATTGTTTGTTTGTCTTGATGTCCTTTTTTATATGTACTTTGCCATGACTTTGATAGTTAGATTTTGACGTGGGCGTTGATTACCCTTTTTGAACATTTCCGCTTATCTGATATAACAAATAGTAAAGTGAAAAAAATAATTCATTCTTTTTTTTTTTTTGTAATGAGACAAGCAGTAAATTCTAACTCACTTAAAAACTTGCCAAAGGGGTGTCCGTTTAGATGTGCAGGATGTATAAATACGTAGCCTCATCTGGATAGAATGGGACGTTATTTTGATGCCTTGTGGAGAGAAAATATCATGCTCTCTGAAAGTTTAGAACCCCTACAACAACTCATTGAGGGTTCCTAAGGTGGGCTGTTGCAAGGCAAAATTTCTGTCCCTATCCAATGTACCCTCATTTTCCAGTGTCAGTCAAAATTTCCCCGACTTGCATCCCAGTTGACCATTATTACAGAACCTACCCATTGTATCATCACCATGTATTGTTAATCTATTCTCGACCTCAACATGCATGAACTATTTGCCACTTGCCGCTAAGATACCAACAATAAATCATCCTTTGTTGCACAAATCATACTTTTAATATTACCGTCAAATTTGTTTACTTTGTGCATTCTTAAAAATATAGAATCGCCACGTTTTGAAATAAAATGGTGAGATGAAAAACATGTCTGTCAGCTTCGGATAAAAACAGGATGAGTTAGGAACATAATTTTGCAATTTGAATACGGTATTAGCTTTGGCAGTGGGTTATTAATTTTAAAATTTGCTACGAGAAAATAGCTATCGATAAGACTTCGTGGTTCAGCATTGATAACAAAAAAAAAAATATATCCGATAAAAAACGTTGAATGCAAACAATTATAATGAACCTAAGAAGTCTTATATTATAGGACTACTGGTTTCCAAGACAAAGGAAAGTTGATTATACATGTATGAGGGTAGGAATGCCCTTTACCGTCAGGCGTCCAACGGTCATTTTTGGCTACCGTTAGCATCAAATTGGTTAAAATTTTACCGTGATTTGTCATGTAATGGTGGTCACTTTGTTTACTTGTTATTTATTCTATTTATTTGGGGAAATTGGTTAATGTTAGTATTATTTATAGTTCCGTAACTCTTTCTTCCGAGACCGGCCATGTAATTATTCTTGTCGGGACTTCCTGCCTCTTGCACGTGCCTGACATCCGGCCCGGCCGGGCTCGTTGTCCCTAGGAACTATAAGTATGACGTCACTCACCGGGTTCAGGGCAGTCTACACTTAGGATTTGAAATGAGCAGACGCTCATACCGTTTGGCTTGCAAATTTATATAGAACTTTACAATGACAAGTAGACTAGCCACCACCGTATATTTTATTATTCTTGTATGTAACTTATATTCAACCATAACGTATGTCTCTTAATAAACATCATCTTTATGTTTACGTGGTTTTAGTTGTCCAATATCCCAGAACTTGGGTAGACAACGGGAAAACGAAGCCAGTGGAAACTCCACTCCCGTTACATTGGGGGCTCGTCCGAGGGATATTTTAGGATAATAATTAAAACAAACGTATTGTTTGTACATTATTTCTGCAATATGGCTGGAATAAAAGGGATTTTTGTATCCCTAGGAGTCAAAATCGAACAGTTTATTGTTCGTCTTCTTATCATTTCGGCCGTTTGTGCCGGTCCGACAATGACCAGTACTGCATTCAATATTGTTTTGTACAATAAGATAAGTAAAGGTGACTTACCTTCAGAAATTGAAATTAGAAATCCAGCAGGGAAAATTAAAATTGGAGCACAAGGTGAATATTTTGTTCACGTTCCAGAGGAAAAATGCAGTTCTTGCATAAAAGAAAAACAGACACACCATGTTTGTACTAATTTACACAACAGCAAAATTAAATATTTAACTGCATTTTATTGCAGGATAAAGCTT